CACTGTGTCAACTATATATGGATTGTGTTTTACTCTTGTTTTCATGAACAATTTTGAAGAAAACTTTGTTCTGAACCAGTCAAACCTGGACGTGGACTTCAAAAATAGCATGCACTTCAAAATGTTGTTAATGTGAACTGGATTGCAACAAGTATAACTTTGCAAATAAGGCTTATTACCTTATGCTCTACCACGTGTAAGTAAGGAACTTATAAAAGAAAGAAAAAAGGATGTTCATAAAAACGAACGACGTTGCGAACAAATATACATTAACACTTGGAATTGAATAACAACCTAATAGTTACGGTGCTAGGTTTTTAGGAATATAACTTCTGTTCGGACATTGGATTGAGTTGAAGATGGGTTTCATTTTCAGCCAACTTATTCAAGTTCCAGCTCCTAAAGAAAGCATCGTTGCTCGCTTAGCAATGCGGCAAAGCACTGACGGAGGTTGGTGAAGCAGAATTTTCCAAAAACCATAATTAAATAACCTGTCTCTCTTATTAAAGAGTCTCAATCCCACATTGGTGTAAGAAGACTCTGAGTATCAATATATAAGCTCCATGGCCTACTCCCCTCATTGCCAATTGGTTTTGAGGTGAAACCTCATGGGCTTCTGTATGTTATCAGAGCTAACTCGCCGACATTCAGACTCCGAAAAGTCTAACAAAAAAAATAGGACTGAGACGTGAGACGGTACTGGGGCTGAAAAAAATAAGACAAGCCCAACCCAAAAAATACGTTGGGCTTGGGGGGAGTATTAAAGAGTCTCAATCCCACATCGGTGTTAGGAGACTCTGAGTATCAATATATAAGCTCCATGGGCTACTCCCCTCATTGCCAATTAGTTTTAAGGTAAAATCTCATGGGCTTCTGTATTATTAAAGAGTCCTAATCCCACATCGATATTGGGAGATTCTGAGTATCAATATATAAGTTCCATGGGCTACTCTCCTCATAGCCAATTAGTTTTGAGGTAGAACCCCATGGGCTTCTATATAGTATCAGAGCCAGCCCGTTGATATTCGGACTCCAAAAATCTAACAAAAAATAAGGTTGAGACGTGAGGCGGTGCCTGGACTGAAAAAATAGGACAAACCTAACCCAAAAAAATACGTTGAGCTTGCGGGAGAATATTAAAGAGTCCCAATCCCATATCGGTGTTGGAAGACTCTGAATATCAATATATAAGCTCCATGAACTACTCTCCTCATTGCCAATTGGTTTTGAGGTGGAATCCCATGGGCTTCTGTATGGTATCAGAGCCAGCCCGTTGACATTCGGGCTCTAAAAATCCCAACAAAAAAATAGGGCTGAGACGTGAGGTGGTGCCTGGGCTGAAAAAAATAGGATAAGCCCAACCAAAAAAATATGTTGGGCTTGCGGGGGAGTATTAAAGAGTCCCAATCTCACATCGGTGTTGGGAGACTCTGATATCAATATATAAGCTCTTTGGGCTACTTTCATCATTGCCAATTGGTTTTGAGATAGAACTCCATGGGCTTCTGTCCATTATGACAAAAGTCAGATTCTTTCCAAGAAAAAAAAAAGAGGAATTTTGACTTGTCATACACCAATCTAACATTTACAAAAATTTCGAATATGGCAAAAGTCATCTTCTCTCAAAAGAAGAGTTTTGACTTGTCATACCACAATCTAACTAAGCAATAAAATTTCAAGCAGTCCAAAAACATGGCAAGAGTTACTCAAGGCAAAGGATCGATGATGGTCTACAAGTTTTTCATTATTTCTGTTCTGGAGGATGAGAAATCCGTCAACACAATCAAAGCAAACTAAGTCTTAAACAAAATTTCAAGCAATCCAAAAACATGGCAAGAGTCACTCAAGGCAAAGAATCGATAGTGGTCTACAAGTTTTTCATTATTCTTGTTCTGGAGGATGAGAAAGTCGTCAACACAATCAAAGCAAACTGAGTCTCCAACCCCGACTCAATTTGAGGGAGGATATTAAAGATAATCGTTAAATAATAGAGTTAGGATCTATTTTAGTGATAGGAATCCACTTTAGTGATAGACTTAATTTATTAATTATCAAAAATAGTTTTTATCAACAAAATTATTTTTTATCCAGTAGTGTAGACATGCCTATAAATATAGTGTCTACCCTTTATTTTGTAATCAGGCTAGTCACAATGTAGTGTTCAAATATTATTCTACATTCTTCTCTCTTTTATTTATATACTTTTGGAATTCTTATTTTCTTCTTGGTCAAATATTATTTCACTATTATGTCCGGTTAAAATAACCAAATATCATTTGATCAGAAATACTGGTTGAATTTTACTATTTTACTCTCTAGGTCCAACTAACTTTTACAGTTAAACTATAATACAATAAACCCGTGATCGTTTGTTAATAGCACTTGGACACACTTTGAATGTATATCTGATCTTTTTCTATTCTCCATCCTAAAATTGTTATTCAATTTAAATTTTTATTTTTAGTACAAAATAAATTAAAACTGAAAATTTAAACTTAGACAATAATTTGAGACATAGAGAATATATAATTAATCATTATTGCCCACTGAAGTAAATGCAATTTCCTTGGAGACTTATATATCTCTGCAGCGGTGCTTATAATTGAGGATTTGGGACCGAGAAAGGATAGACGAGTCGACCATCATATTTATTGAATATGGTCCAGCGGCCCTAGTGAGTTCTGAATTTGTCGGGTCAAACTTGCAAACATGTATATGTCTTATTCTGTAGGTTGCTTCTTGCAAATGTTGTCATTCCCCTCGCTATAAATATATCTCCACCAGATCCACCGACACAGCCAAATAAGTACTGTACATGTTTTTCTCCTTTTTCCTGTGTTTTTAAAACCAGACCGGACCGGGCGGTCGAATCGGTTAGCCCGGGAACGGAAAGTCTCACCGGTTCAGTTTTTATAAAAAAATCGGATTTTGTATAACTGGTCAAACTCGGTCAAACCCGAACAAAATCGCGATTTGACAAAAAACCGGTACCGGTTGAACCGGTTTTTGAATATTTTTTTAAAAAAATTAATTTTTAAATATTTTTTTAATATTATTTTAACCGATTTTTACTGGTTTCGAGGAACGAACTAACCCGTTAACCCGATAAACCCACCAACCCAGTCACGGTAACGGTTCACCTTTCGGTCCGATTTTGAAAACATAGCCTTTTTCAAGGCTTGGAATCATCACTATTCTTTTATCTCTGAACCTTTCATCGAGAAAATCACATCAACAAAAGATAAGTATCAATCATTATTTCTTTTAATAACTCTTAGATAATAACACAACAAAAATGTATAAACCCTAAGTATCCTACTATATTAGAAACAAAAATCTCCCTTTCAAACACCTCATATGATTGCCACGTGGCATGTAGAAAATACTAAATTGCCCTTTTGTCTAACCATAACTAAATTACTAAATCTCCCTTTGCACTTTACGTGACACGTTTTTTTTTTTTTAATTTTTTTCTTTATGTTTCATTCAACTAGAGTGGTTTTTTAAATTGAATTGATCAATTAGGTTTTTTGTTACAAAGTGTCAATTTTGTTTTAAGCGTATACCCTTTGGATGAAGCTTATTACAAAGCTATTAAAAATCTCCAAAACTAAGTATTGATTTGGCACGACCAATGGAGAACATCAATAAATCATCTTACTAATATTTAAATTTATTAGGATACTTTTATATTTTATCTAACATTTACTTCAACACATATATTCAATTAAGCTATTTATATTTAATAAGTAACACTTATAAAATATTTCTAAAACATACATGGCGAAATACAATTTATTTATTTTTTGCGAAATACAAATATATCTATGATCACACTTATAAAACATTTCTAAATCCTTCAAATATTTCTAAAATATATCGCTCCAAATACAAAATTTTATTTTTTTCAAATATAAACATTTCTAAGATCTACAGATAGACTGGGCCAGGGTCGCACATTGCGCGACCAGACATCACTAGTAATATATTAGAAATGATTCTTTTATGGTAAATTCCTGATCTTTTCGTTGGTAAAATGATTGTAGAAATATAGAAAAATAACATTAATGCTGGACACTTAAAAACAAAAGGAAAAAAGATAGAAAGTAAAGGGGTGTGTCGGGTCAGGATCACCCTTCAACAATGGTCCATATGGTGCGGACCCATATTGCTAAAAGAATTTATATGGCGGTGGTTTAGTAGAGCGGACCTCACAAGGCCCCTCAATCCCCCATGGTCAAGTGTTGTTCCCTTCTTCCCAACTCTTTAGATCTTAATGTATCTCGATGAGAATGCTAGCTATTTCACATAATCCTTGGAAAAAAAAAAAAAGACTCGCCGATTATGAAACACGATAAAAAAAAATACAGAGAAGAACGTTTCCTCCAAATATGATGACAGTGGTAGATACCCCTTTATGCATTGTCCTTTTATTAAACCCTCTACTCTAAAATAAATGTTTTTTAAAAAAAAATAAAGAAATTTTAAAATAGAGTAGTTTTTTTTTTAATTTCAAAGTAGTATTTGTTCAAATTTTCTAAAATTACCTTCAAAAGAAATGGTACTAATGGTTATTATTTGAATTAATGAAAGTCACTAATATATATTTTACCAACTATACGTTCATTTTTATTTCTGTAAAAATTCAAAAAAAAAGAAAAAACTGTTCTGATTCTCAAAATTAGAGTCATGTTCACATGAACTCATATACAGCATTACGGCAACCATGATTAATTTACAGCGATGGGAGGATTCAATTATCAGAGATCGAGAGGATTTATGAGAAGTTGACAACATAGTACAATGCACATGCGTTAGGGATATACTACTTCCTTACCACGTGAAACAACCTGTCACAACATAAAAGAATGGATTAATCATTGTTACGGAGTAGCTACAAAGAATTATTGAAGGGGCAAAGAAAACCCAATAAATACGAACAGAAAAGTGCTTCAATGTGCAAAAAGTAACCAGTATAACATTAATCTTTTTTTTTTTTTTGGGAAACCAGTATAACATTAATCTCATCTCCTTTAGTAACCTCCAAGCCAAACTTTCCACACACACACAAAAAAAAAACAAAAAACAAAAAAATGGTGATTTTGAAGGCCACCTCTCACATTGTGAAGCCAGCAGAACCGACCCTAGAAGAAGTCATGTATTTATCAGACTGTGATCAAATCAAGCCCTTAACCCATGCCCCAACCATCTATTTTTACAAACCATCTTCTTCCTACAAATCCCTCCAAGAAATTGTTCAGATTCTGAAAGATTCCCTCAGCAAAGCCCTGGTGAAATTCTACCCTCTTGCGGGGCGGTTACACTGGACCGATGGTGGCCGGGTCGAGCTCCATTGTAACTCCATGGGAGCTTTGCTGATTGAGGCTGAATCCGACCTCACGATCAATGATTTCGGGGACTTCTGTCCGTCCCCGGAAATCCGATCGCTTATCCCGTCGGTGGATTACAGCGTAACTCCAATCCAAGAAGCGCCATTGCTTGTCGCACAAATCACAAAGTTGAAATGTGGCGGTATTTGTTTTGGAGCCGGGTTGTCACACATTGTGGTAGACGGACAAAGCGCGGTTCATTTCGTGTCCGAATGGGCGAAAATCGCCCGCGGTTCTGCCCCGTTGGTCGATGATCATCCTTTTTTGGATCGGAGGGTTTTACAACAGAATGATACTTTAAAGCATGATCTGAAAAAATATGATGATTTCTTTCCTTCGCCACTTCTTTTAGGACAGTCTGATAACCTAGAGGAACGGAAAAAGAAGACAAAACCAATGGTATTGAAACTTAACAAAGAGCAAATTGAGTCCCTCAGGAGTAAAGCTACATTAGGCCTCCTCAGCGAAGGGCTTATGGAACCAAGGAATAACCCGGTCGGCCGACCACAAGTCAGCCGGTTCGAGGTGGTATGTGCACATATATGGAAGTGTATATCACTGGCCCGAGGGCTACAACCTGAACAAGAAACCGTGTTGTTCGTGTCGGTGGATTTTCGTAACCGCATTAGCCCGCCATTGCCCGCGAGGTACTTCGGAAATGCTGTCTTGGCTTTGCCTGTTTCATCCACTGTGGATGAACTTTTATCCAATCCAGCGAGCTATACTGCAAGGAAGATCAGGACAGTGGTCGACAGCGTTACCGATGAGTACGTGAAATCGTACCTTGGTTGTATCAAGAGCATCCCGAATATTGCGAACAAGAGGCATTTTCATACGGTTGGTTGTGCACAAGGGTCGTTTTTGGGGAACCCTAATTTGATCATCACGAGTTGGGCCGGGTTGTTGCCGTTGTTATATGGAGCTAACTTTGGTTGGGGAGATGAATTTTACATGGGACCTGGATCATTAGGTTATGATGGAAGGGTTTTCTTGATTCCCAGCCATAATGGAGATGGATCCTTCATCATTCCATTGCGCCTTCAAGTGGAGCATGCCGATGCTTTTGAAAAGTATTTCTATGAAAATATTTAGGCACTTAATATCCCCTCTCGCTCAAATCATCATAAAAATTCAGAAGGCAGGGCTTTGTTAAGCAAACACTCTTTTTCCATACAATAAAGAGTCCAATGCCTAGTTTTTTTGTTACAATAAAAGAGGCAAAACCTAATTACACGTTTTTATGGTAAGAAATCTCTATAATATCATGTTCCATTCACCGAACAATTGGTGGATCTTGTAGCAAAAGCAAACCACCATGTTCCTGAGCCCAATGCCTTGGGACATTAAACAAAAATCGTACGGAATTATATATAAAACTCTAATCACATCATGTTCCAATCATGGCTTAATAGCCGGCAGTAGATCATTCAACCCTTACAATGCCAAAGGACTTTCAGCAGGTAAGCATGTCAAATAGCGTGAATATTAGGACAACACTTTTAATCTCTAACAAACACACTTTCACAATGCCGAATTAACATATTTACTCTCTCTATGATCAAAATAGCCATGTTCGAATTTGTATTTTAGTAAACTTTGCATTATAAATAAAAATTTAAACTGGACAATCGAATGTAGGGAGTACTTTTCACTCTCCTAGCTGCCCATATATGTCTACCTTTCAAGTTTTTGCCGTTATTAATAAAAGAAAAAAAAAATCTAGCTCTGGAGGTTGGAACTGTGACGCTGTTGTCATTCGTTGTCGGTCATCATGACTCACTCTGAACCATGAAGTGAACAAGAGAAAGAAGAATTGATAACCGGCAATCCTTCTCAGCGTCGAAAATGAGATTAGGGTCTGTTAAATATACAGCTTACCTAACAGATTCAGTCATCATGACTCATCCTGAACCACGGATACAGTTGATCAATTACACCTCCTGATAATTGAGAAAATCAATTTTCCGCAAAATTAAAGCACCCTCCCGATTCAAGAAAAATTGGTTGGTGGCTAGCAAAAATGTCTGCAACTTCCTATTTGACTCTTGGGGGTGTAGTACTCATAACGACAAAGAGTTAGAAAGAAAAATAATAAAAAAGAAGAAGAAGAATTCTATACTATAAAAAATGAATGCGTATGGAACTTGTGAAAATCAGAGATATGCTCAAAGAAATCAAGTGTGGATCAGAATCAATGGATGTTACAGTCTAATGGGAAAATACACAATTTTGTCCGCCTAGCTATCAATTTTCACTACATGTTAATTAAGTTGTGATCATTCTAATTCAGAAGGAGTCGAAATGTGTTTGGAATCGATTAAGCTCGGCTAGATGTTATCGATTAAGCATGCCTAGATGTTGTTTCATTACCTAGTTATATTTGCAAGATAGACTAATTAATGACAAGGGCTAGAAGTGCCCCCTGTGTGCAGCTTATCTTCAATGTGCGTGTTTGAACTTTGATGTAGTTTCTATGGCAAGAGATACTAATTACCCGAATGAAGAGAGAAATATGTTTAAAGGAGTTGGGACGATATAATAAAGAATAAATACTACTCTATCTGTCAATAAAAAAGAAAAAGTTTACATTGAGTTTAGTGATTTATATTATTTTTAATACAAATGTTTAAAGGAAAATCCCTCCAAATCATGTACTCTGTGAATAGGGGACATTTTGCACAAAGCATCGGAAATCTTTACTCCCTCCGTCCCATAATTATTATCCGGTTTGAGTTTTCATTTTTAGTTCAAATTGTATTAAAAGTGAAATCTCAAACTGGACAATAATTTTGGGACAGATGGAGTAATATTGAATAGCGCTCCTCAAGATTATTGGATTGTTTCCGAACATAAGTTGCGTTATCATACAACTCAATCGCTTGTTCTAAGAATTCAAATTTTCCTCATTAAAAAGGATATTTTTGGACAAAAATAATTTAGGTGGTCCTATTCCTATATCTATTTAATTTCAAAACTTCTGAATATAACTGAACTTGATCCGTCATAAAACAACTTTTGTGGAAATGTGAATGTGAGCATCTTTTCTAGCTTGCAATTAATGGCTTCACTATATTGACCTGTCTCTCACCAAAAATCAAGTCATTTCAACCTTACCTTCTTCTGTTCAATTCTTGTATATTTGTCCTCTTATGGAGTGAAGGATTTAGACTTCTTAATAGGAGCTTACAATCTGATATCACGCCCTTTCTTACAGTATGCTTTTAAGGCCAGATATTTTCTCAACAATAGACATCATACAACTGAGCTCTAGGATTGTATTTTTTGAATATATTTCAGAAATCTTTAACTCATATCCCCCAACTTCCTTATCAGTTGATTGAAATTAATTTCGATCTTAGTTCGAACAACTTGAGAGGGGCATTATTTATGCCGTCCAATAAAACATCTTATTTGTTTAAAAAAATAAATAAAATTCACCCAATAGACCACATTTTAACAGTGAATAAAACCTCTCTTTCTACAAGAATCAAACTCGAATATACTCTTAGAAAACACAGTGCATTCCCTAATCACTAGACTATTATTCAATTCACTCTAATAAAACATCTTATTACTTTGCTTCATGTAATGAATTTACATGTGAATTATCTACATTTATACGCAATTTATGTTCGCTTCCGCTGTTGGATTTGGCCAACAACTTCATCGGTGCATGGTGATGTTTCTCAAGTTTCCTTATGGTTGTGAATGAATCGCTCTAAATCTGCGTGATAATAAGTTAGAAGGAAGTATCTTGTAATCCTTGGTCAAGTTGCTCTGTGTAATTACAAGTCCTAGGTCTTGAAAACAACTACGTAGATGGCTAATGATTGGTATGTAATTGCTACCATTTGTCATCATCAAAGGGTAAAAAATCACGTACCTTGTTCAACTAAACACTGAGCCGGGGACAATATAATTCATAATTCGTGTTTTTTGCTCAATAATTGCAGTGAATGCGAAACGAAAATATCTTCCCAGATTAATTGGCACTAAATGACTAAAGCACAAATTTGAAAAGAATTCAAGTGTTAGGAATATATAAAAGATTGCACAGTGCCACTAATTTCAATGTCCCTTGTAACTTTGGTTTCGGCCATAGAATCTTAAAATAGAAGAAAAATAAGAATTGATGAAAATAAATAAAGAGAAAGAAACTAGACGGGGATATTTTTTGGAGACTACATTGTGACAGACTTGAATTTCAAAGATATGGTAGAGTCATATTTATGGACATAACAAGTAAAGCTCTCCTACTAGATAGCAATAAAGAGAATAAACCTATCAACTAATTCATCACTTATCCTTCTAACCTAGTCTATCTTGATTAACTCAAGAGCTGAAATGACTCCTTTTCTTGATAAAATAAACTCCTTTTTTTATAATTATCTTTAACATCCTCCCTCAAACTGAGTCGAGGGTTGGAGAAATGTTTGCTTCTTGAGTGATTCTGACAACGGTATTGAGTTGCTTGCCTAAAGTTTCATGATCTGTGATTGGTAACTTGTGAGCGACGTAAAGTGTGTTTTTGAGTGGTCTGCTCGAATTGTTGAGCTGTTAGACATTGTTGAGAAACAAGATGTATCGATTCTCATAACTGTGTGGTTAGATTTTTGCATGACAAGTCCAAGTTTCTTTTGAGAGGTACTCAAACATTTGTCATGATGTGGATTTTTGTAGATTGACACAGAGATAAATCAACTACTTTTTTGGATCGACTGAAATTTAATTTTTGGAAAGAAAAAATTTTGGTGTTAATTTGAAATATATGAGTGTATGAATTGGACCAAATTGGCTGGAGTGATGATACGGAAACACTTATGAGAAAATTACAAAGGTATATATTGGTGTTGGAAGGAGAACATTGTAGGAGTTATGAATTTGATGAATTTGGAGTTTGAATATTCAAGGGCATGAACATAGATGAGAATAGAAAAATGATGACTTATTTGGGGGAAAAAAAATAAGCGGAAGCAAGGCTACAAAAGCAGGACGGAACCTGCTCTGATATCAAGAAGAAAAATAAGAATTGATGAAAATAAATAAAGAGAAAGAAACTGAACGGGAATATTTTCTGGAGACTACATTGTGACTGACTTGAATTTCAAAGATATGGTAGAGTCATATTTATAGGCATAACAAGTAAAGGTCTCCTACTAGATAACAATAAAGAGAATAAACCTATCAACTAATTCATCACTTATCCTTAATTTTTTATTTATTAAGAAATTGTCCCTCTCTGCCGCCTCCCTCTCCTTCTCCCTCAAACCCTAAAAAAGAAAATTAATCTTCTCCCATCTTTCCGCCATAGAAGGACGGGGAAAATAATTCTACTCACATCCTTTAGCCTTTTAATTATATTTTAATTTAGTTTTAATAAACGGCTTGTAGATTATTATCTACAGTATAGCGGCAACATCTTTATTGATGTTTGGAAGTATTGCAGCAGTATCCTTGTTGATGTTTAGTAGTATGACGGTAGTATTGTCGGTGATGTATGCAGATACGGCGGTGACAACTTCATTGGAGGTGTTCGTCGGTTTGGCAGGCATGGTCCAAGAAGATTCAGCCATAGTAGATCTAATTATTATTAGATTCACGATTTGGGGGTTTCAACTGAAGGTTAGTGTTGTATCCTTGATCGGATTAAAAATCTGGTACGTGGTACAACCATTATTTTATGGGGTAGATCAATATAAGTTTATCCATGTAGCGAAACACAACAATGGCATTGTGACTGTTTGTAAGTTGTGTTTTTATCAGTTATAATAAGGAGCAACTAGGTACACCTAGGGTGTCTTTCACGCTCCAAAACACCCTCAATAATAGCCCTCTTTTTCTGGGTTTTTTAATTTTTAAATCTCCATAACAAAAAATATAAATATTGAATTACCCTTTTTTTTCTCATTTTTCTGCTTTTATAACCGCTCAAGCAAGAACGAAATTCTCTCGGCGACTACGCTCTCGGAAAGCTACTTTGTGCATCAAAAATATGGATTTTATAATCGAGTAAATACAAATTAAAGTGACGATTACAGTAATAAATCATCTTATTCATCTCTTTTTGTGAGTTTCTCTTTGTGGATTTGTTTGAAATCTTCTTTGATGAATCTGTGAGTTTCTATTTGTGGGTTTGTTTCAGATCTTCCTTGATGAATCGTCAGAGGTTTATAAATTCAGATCTTCTGTGGAAAAAAAAGAATTCATATTTGGTGAACTGCCAAAAGATTTATGAATTCAGATCTGCTGTGAAAAAGATTTATCGTCAGAGGTTTATGGATTCAGATCCGTTTGTGTATGGTTATTCATCAATTCTGTATGATCATTCATTCGTTGTGTATGATTATTCATCATGTTGTTGTTGGTTGGAAATCAGAATTTTATAATTATGGGATTTAATGTTGTTGTTGTTCATCAATTTAGTTATTCATCCGTTGTGTATTATTCATCTGTTGTGTATGGTCATTCATCATGTTGTTGTTGGTTAGAAGTTTGGGTTTTATAATCCTGAGTTTTAATGTTGTTGTTATTCATCAATTTATTTCTTCTGTTGTAAAAGGAATCATTATTCATCAGTATCAGTTAGCTCATTCATATAACCTTGATGAATCATCAGAGGTTTATGGATTCAGATCTTCTGTGAAAAAAAAAAAGTTAGATTTGGTAAATTGCCAAAAGATTTATGAATTCAGATCTGCTGTGAAAAATATTTATCATCAGAGGTTTATGGATTCAGATCTGCATGTATATGGTTATTCATCCGTTGTGTATGATTATTCATCATGTTGTTGTTGGTTGGAAATCTGAGTTTTATAATTCTGGAATTTAATGTTGTTGTTGTTCATCAATTTGGTTATTCATCCGTTGTGTATGGTTATTCATCTGTTGTGTATGGTTATTAATCACGTTGTTGTTGGTTGGAAATCTGGGTTTTATAATCCAGAGTTTTAATGTTGTTGTTCATCAATTTGTTTTTTTTTGTTGTAAAAAGAACCATTATTCATCAGTATCAGTAAGCTCATTCATATAACCTTGATGAATCGTCAGAGGTTTATGGATTCAGATCTTCTGTGAAAAAAAATAATTCAGATTTGGTGAATTGCCAAAAGATTTATGAATTCAGATCTATTGTGAAAAAGATTTATCATTAGAGGTTTATGGATTCAGATCCGTTTGTGTATGATTATTCATCCGTTCTGTATGGTTATTCATTCGTTGTGTATGGTTATTCATCATGTTGGTGTTGGTTGGAAATCTAGATTTTATAATTCTGGGATTTAATGTTGTTGTTGTTCATCAATTTGGTTATTCATCCGTTGTGTATGGTTATTCATCATGTTGGTGTTGGTTGGAAATCTAGATTTTATAATTCTGGGATTTAATGTTGTTGTTGTTCATCAATTTGGTTATTCAACTATTGTGTATGGTTATTCATCTATTGTGTATGGTTATTCATCATGTTGTTGGTTAGAAATCTGGGTTTTATAATCATGAGTTTTAATGTTGTTGTTGTTCATCAATTTGTTTCTTCTATTGTAAAAAGAACCATTATTCATCAGTATCTGTTAGCTCATTCATGTATTCATCCGTTGAGTATAAGTGAGCACATTCATTAGTATCATTGATTGTATGGTTATTCATCAGTATTATTGAGCTAATTTTTATATTCATCCATTATCAATTAATCAATATTTTAGTCAAAATAGGATTTTGATGGAATGTAAAATCTCACTTATTATAATGTTTTCTTTGTTCGATCAGCGTCAGAGAAATGTTCATCAAAATGAACTCGATCGGTTGGGAATCAAATATTTGGCAAAGTTGCTGAAATCAAACAATCAACATAGACGTATCGAGTATCGGCAATTCTTTCAAGATCTTATATGCTAAAACCAATGACAACTTTTTTTTTTTGGTTCAGTTTTGGTCTAGTATAATACATAATTAGAAGTTTGTTAGTTTAGCTGCTGACATTAACTCATTGTAAAATATACTCTTGTTAGTTTTATTGATCAAATTTATTCATTATGTAACCAATTATTCATCCAATAATGTTATCTCATTCATTCATTAAAGTATAATTATTTATCTAGCAAAACTACATACATGCTTCATTTTAGTATTGTTATTCATCTAGAATGGGATCATTATTCATCAAGATTTAAATTGAGCGGAATATCTTATTCAGTTGGCTTGCACAATACTAAAATGATATACTAATAAAATAAATCGTCATAAAAAAGATTTTTCATAAAATAAAATAACATAAAAACTAATTGGATAAGATAAGAAAAATAGTTTGAAGTTAAATGTGTGCGAAAAAAAGGGATAAAATTTGGAGCATTAAATGCGCGTGTGGCTGAAATTTGGGGGGGAGGGGGAGGGGTGGGGAATCCACTTGCATACAAGGAGAGTGTATTACACTTGTCCACTAGGTACACCTTTCTAGATGTGCCTAGGTGCTCTTAATTATTTGCCGTGTTTTTATGGCTGTATCTTACTTTTATCAATCGTTGCTAGACGATTTCTAGCAAATTAATGTATTTATATTTATTTCTCAAAAAAAAAAATCATCACTTATCCTTTAGTCTATCTTGATTAACTCACGAGGTGAAATGACTCCTTTTCTTGATAAAATAAACTCATTTTTTTTATAATTATCTTTAACAAAAATATATTCATTCTGTCCCGAAATTATTTTCTACTTCAGATTTTTATTTTTAATTCAAATTGTACTAAAATTAAAATTTCAAACTGAACAATAATTTTGAGACAGAGAAAATAGTACTATCACAAACGCAAAACCAGTCAGTAGCATTAGATTTGAATCCTAAATGAATAAAATAATCCCTTTTTGTACATGCATAATGTATAAATGATATGTTGATTTGTCATAACATAACAAACTATCATCCTCAAACTTCTGAATTTTTCTGTGAATCTTTTTTGAAAGCTTATCCAAATTCTGGCGGGGTTTGGCGTCTTTTTGTTGAAAAATTGGAAGACAATAAGAAGTACAAACTGAACTACGTCGTATGATATTGTGTTTTTCCCCCAAAATTGGTACTACCTCCATTTCATTTTACTTGTCGCATTAGGGTAAAAGCAAACCTGGTTTTTATTGTCGCTTTTCATTCCTAAGATGTACTACTTAATTTATTTTTTCCAATTTTATCCTTATCTCTCTCCAGTTTTAATTAGTCATACTCATATCAATAACAACTACTTGTAGTTTAATTTGCTGCATATTCCCAATACAATTAATTAAGGATAAAAAGATCAATACATATAAAATTATATTCCCAAACATATTTTTCTTAATTTGTGTGTTTGTGTTAGTGCGAATATGAAATGGAGGTAATAAAAGAACCCCCAAAAATCTCTCCCTCAGTTTTGACTGGGGTAAGACCTACCGGCCACCACCAGTCCACCGCCGCCGTTACCGTGAGTCCTTCTCTCTCTCTGTTAACTGTCCGCCGCCGCCGCCGCCACCGCGGCAGTCACAAATCGAGCTGTTGTTATTCGATTGTTCCCTTCCTTCATTATGTGAAGAAAGCTGCTCTTGTTGTATACTCTGCTTGTTGAGCAAAATCTCCTCGTAACAATGTTCTCGCGGAAGTGCCGGAATCACATCTTCAATGGCGGCGCTGGAGGCGGAGGCTCACTCCTGGTTCAATCACTCGTTAATTACTCCACAGCCACCAAGATTGCCCCATCCCAGAATGGCATTTTGACGAACTACCTCGTTAAGTCACTTGGGTTCTCCAAAGAAGTCGCCATTTCCACTTCAAGCAAGGTAACTCGATTAAAGCCCCTTAAATATAGTCCTAATTCAGTGATCAATTATTTCGAAAATTTGGGCATGAGTAAATCCCAACTCAGAACGATTGTGTCCTTGTACCCCAACATCTTATTTTGGAACGTTGAGAGAAGTTTGGCTCCCAAAATTAAGGTTTTAGAAGAACTTGGCTTATCTGGGTTAGACATTGTAAGAATTTTTATGGTTCATAAGTGCCTTTTGGTGAGAGGAGTGAATAGCTATATGAGACCCCGGATTGAGTGTTATAAAGAACTGTTTGACACTGATATCAGGGTAGCTGCTTTTAAGAGATATGCCTTGAGGACTTATAAAGTTAAGCATGTTAAACAGAATTTATTGTTGCTGCAAAGTATTGGGTTTACCTGTGCTGATATTGTCAAACTTATGGCTAAAGATGCAAAAAATATTTTGTTCTTAAGTGGCGAAAAGCTTCAGGATACAGTTCGCAGGGTTGAAAATGATTTGGGGATTCCTCGTGTATCCGCCTTCTTCTACTATGGGATGTATGTGCTCAGCTCATATCGCCAGTCTAACATTGACGCGAAGTTTGAAACATTTAAGAGTTTTGGCTGGTCAGATGCTGAAATCCTTGCTCTGGTTAGGAATTCTCCTCTTATTTTGTGCATGTCACCACATACAATGAGAAGATCTTTAGATTGTTTTATGAAGGAGTTTGGATATAGTTCGGAGTACTTGGTTTCACACCCTGTGCTTCTAGCCTTGAGTTTAGAACGGAGAGTAAAACCTAGGATTGAAGTTCAGAAAGTTTTGATCGAGATGAATCTTAACAAGGGGAAGACAGCCCTCTACACTCTTTTAATTAAACCAGAGGCCAAGTTTCTGAAGGATCATGTCCTAAAGTACAAGGATATATTACCCAACATGTGCGCAGAATATTTGAAGATGGTTGGAAAACAGAAGATGGAGCAATTAGGTGTTTTGAGGTAACAATCATATTGTATTTGGTTGTACTGCATTTTTGTTCTATTGCAGTAGGGTATGCTTCATTGTAGTGCTATTTTAATGCTCCTGTTTTTCCTTGTGGAGTGTGCTGATCGAGTACGATTGTGACATATAGTCATCCCCACCTAGTGAAAAAAAAAAAAAAAAAGACTACTTGTTGTTTAGATTAAACTTTACTGGAAATTTGAACATGCTAGATGAGTCAGTCCTCTTTTTGTGACCAGCTCTGAGGAATGATTGTTGGAAGTTTTTGGTTGTTGCACAATTCATTTTCTACAAGATTGAAGTATTTTACTTTTCAATAGAGTAGATATACATGACACTTCTTGCTTTCCTATCCAAATGTGTGATTCTCTTAAATAAGACACCAAATAGGATTTGTCAGTCATTTATAATAACAGCTCTTGTGGACTTCGCTATAACAGCAATGCAAAGATCAGTCGAACGATCAAAGCCGATCTTTGTGTGTGTTCTTGATCCAAATGTTCGAGTTGGAATAATGAAATGAGAATACTGATGCCAAGTGCTGCTTATTTATCTCATTAGTTTTTTAGAATTTAGGGGTTATTTCCTTCAGAAAATTCCCTTTTCCCATTTCTGTCCAAACTTCTAAGTTGTTGATGACAGTTTTAGAGACCAACTTTTGCGCATCTTTGAGCGAATATACAGTGTGTTTATTGAAAGCGAATACCCTTGTTCATACAACATTTTTACAGTTTTCTATATGCACAGGTTTCTTGTGCATCTAGATTGATACAAAATGATAATCTGAAAGACTCAAATCGACAATGTATATGGGACATTCAGGAAAACCTCTACAGTCTGCGGTAATTAGACTACAGCAAATTATACTAACTCCACAATATCCAGGTCTTCTTTTTCTTGATGTATGCTGTGATCCTATCATGCAATGCTGAAAGAGAACCGGAGAAGTCACCAATCATAGGTGGTAATAAGATCTTCTATCCCGTATGCCAAATGCTAAACACGATCCCAGAGAGTTTGGAGTCCCACGGGACAACTCCACAATGTCCCCAAGGAAGGTTCTTAGGGATTAAGTTCTTCTTAGACCGTCTGAATAAGACTCCAGCCATCTGTGGCAACTTCGAACCAAGTCACTTCCATCAGTTTTCTCAATATAAAATCGAAGAAACAGTCATCGGAAAATTGAACCTTGGAGTTGGGGCTTCTAGATCTTCATCTCCAACCTTTGCCAAGAAAATCTTCACTGATTTCAGTAAAACTTGAAGATGTCCAAGGTCTTGTAGTTCATCTGACACCAGCACCAGTTAGCCAAATAAGATTCTGACATCACATAGCACAGCTCCGATCTCTGACTCGATGATGTTTGGCTGGTTCTGCTTGAAAACGGTTCTCAGGGATCTGAGTGATATAGCTCTTGCCTTGTACCATTTGGAGAAACAACACGAACAGAGCTCAGCTGTAGAATATGCCAGAAATTAGAAATGAGAGATCCAGCAAGATTCTTCCCTGCGGTAAAGGGGCCATCAAGACATTTTAGGTGACGAGTCGAGATTCTATAAGATTGGCTTCACCCTATTTATGATACACTTGAAAATGAAAATCAACAGTGCATCCTTTGCACCGTTATTGAAATCTTGAACTGCATTTCTTGGCTACTCTCTCTATAAAGACTGCCATCTGAATCTGCCTCATTGCACATAAAAGCGGAAAACACCGCATTGATGAAAACAAATTCAGAGTGAGCCAACAGATTTTGTGTCGGTTTAGCTAAGCCGATGAGAGTTCAGAAGAATTCAATGTGCTCTTTTAGGTCAGAATCAATGCACTCAATGAGGGTGGAAGCCATCTTTTTATGGTTTTCGGGAAAATGTTACAGGCAGGGGATGTATAACAGGGAACCCCCAGAATAACTGCAGTGGGAAGATTTGAACAGTGAATTTGTTTCAACTAGGCATCATCATCAGGTTCCTCAAGAGAATTATGTCCCTGATGAACAAGCAAAATGCCCGATTAGACGAACTCCTTCGGCCTCAGATAAGAGTAAGATCATTAATTATCAAACATATTGTTAACTAGTTAGTGTACTTTGGATTAAAAAAAAATAAAAAAAAAAACTTGGTGAAGACCCACAGTAAAGCCAAATTAAGAAAGAGTGCCAAGTCCTAAGAGTTAAAAACTGAAAAAGAAAAAAAGAAATAGAATGACGTTTAAAATGATAGAGAACATAATTCTTCGTACATGGATGATAATGATTTATGAACAAATTTATAGACCAAGGTGATCGCCAGAATTCACAGATAACCTCTTTGCAAATTAATACTGAATGAAACCTGCACCTTTTAAGAGCTCGTCAAGGCTAGTTTATAATGGATTTGAAGGCTGAAGTAGCAGAAAAAGTCCTACCATTGCAGGCTTCAATGATCAATATCCTAGGGCAGAAACCTCGCAGGTTCGTTCATGTGCTGCAGTTCGTTTCCCTGCCTGCAAAATTCTTGGGACAGATAGCTTAAAGTGACCTTATAGTTCCTTCAACCTCAAAGGTTCATCATTTCACAATATCAGACTCAGTTTAAATGAAACAAGTTCCATACATAACTCTGAACATTTCAAGAAAAGAACTGTCGTGAGGTATAAGAGAAAACAAATTTACAAAAGTGGCTTGCATGAAGCATTGCAAAAAGAAGTTGACAAATTTGCGGGAACGATGTGAAAAACACTGAGCCTTGACATGAGGAACAAAGAAAATCGTACACATATCCTTACACTACCGTTTCTTTCCAAGAGAAATTTGCTCTTTTCCTCCCATTACGTCCATGCTGAAGGGAGTTGGGCTAAATGGTGCTCCTGCCCCTTGAAATTCTACCTCCATGTCCTTTTTCTTCAGTAGCAATGCCTCTCGTTCATTCTCCGCCATCAACCTCTCTTTCTCCAACCTAGAAGTCTCAAACTCCAACTCTTTCTTGTTGCAAAACCTCTGCCACTTTACACGTTGCTTTTCTATATCAAGAGCTTCCGCCTGGATACAGATCCTTTCCTCATGAAGCTGAAATGTCCGCTTTTTAATCCAATCTCTACGTTGCAAATGAGATATTGTGGGGTCATTGAAGATTGCAGCCATTTCTGCTCGAAAATCATCCAGGCTACCAGAATGTGACGTAAAAGTTCCATCTTCTCCATTAATCCTTTCTCTCACTCCGTACTTTCCCATTTTCTCAACACTTGCAGAAGCATTATGGTGATCTTCATCTTCAGACTCGTCATCCTCGCTATCATCATTATCGCCAACAGCTTCTCCCCCAGAGACATTAATATATCTGGAATTTTGTGCTGCAACAGGTGAATCATCCTTCTCTTTTGAGGATTTGGGACCAGCAGGTGAATCAGCACAACCTTTCCAATTTGGTTCTGCAACAGATACAGAAAGTATGGGAAACTCAATATCACTACAATCAGGTATTTTTTGGCCGTTATAAAAAGCACACATTTCCCTGTAAAACAAATGCTTTGAGCTCAACAATTTCTTCACATCTTCCTTTGCCTTAGCTGAGAGGTTATGCATGTTGTCTAAGAGAGCTGGGTTTTCGACAACTGTACAACAAGTACCTCTTCCAAGAATATCATTCAGCTTCTTGTACCTCTTGTTCAAGTCATTAAACTTATCCTCACATTGTTGAGGTGACACATGAAACCCCTTCGAAATCAAGATCTTAGAGACTGTTTTCCATTTGCCCTTCCTAATGAGACCAGACTTGCGCCTGGCATTATCAGGACCCTCCAAAGAGCCATCTTCTCCAACACTTGCGACAACTTGAATTAAAAATCTAACTATTTTGTCAGTCCATTTCATTCTCTGCCAAGGAGCCTCTTTCTTGCCCTTTCCTTCCCCCGTATGCTTTCCATCTCCTTCCTCCATACTCAGCTCATCCTCGTCACTGGAATTTTCATCGGTATTAACTGTGCCATAAGTAGTAAGGTCACACAGCCCAGCAACCTTCTCTTTCCCAAAAGTCATTGAAAATCCACGGGGCGAGTCCCTCGCCTCCCTTAGCCCAACTGAACAATCCACTTCGACCACCGATTTATTTTTCATCAATTGATGAACTTGGTCGTTATGAAAACTAGCTGGACTACTTTGATTGTGTTGATACGTCCCAGTCATCCCTAAGATCCCACCTGAACTTTGCTGATTCCTGTTCATCCCCAAAAATCCTCCAGTATAGCCACCCAAAAAACCACTCCCTGAATTGTTACTATTCATTTCCAAAAAGTCCTCAACCAATACAAGAATACCCGAAAATTCCAAACAGCAAAAAATCCAATCTACAAAACTACAACCGCCATTCTTTGCACATCAACGGGTTAAAAATGACTTAATTCTCAGAGGCTCGGCTAAATAACATCCCATAAAATAGCACAGGAAACAACCCATCAACTAGCGAGACCCAACCAACACAAGTTTATTCTTTTCTTCAATAACTCGGTAAAGGGTCCTAACAATAGTTGCCAGCTTCAACTAAAATATCTAGACCGAATAAAAAGACGACCTGAGGATTGATGCTCCGATAAATGTTCAGAGAAAAAAGAAAGGGAAAAGGAACAATTGGGTCCTAACTTAAGCCAAGAATCGAACGAGGAAGTTTTTGGATTACCTTTGCCGTGATTTACAACTGTTCTTCCGACGAATTTACAGCGATGGAGCAAATGAGCTGACTCCCAGCGCTGTTGATTTGAAGTTCCAATATAAACAGACCGGGTCCGGAAGAAGGAAAAGATTAAAAATGAACTTGTATTACCAGAGTGTATTGTATATTTGTATTTGTCCTGTCCTGTCCTGTCCCATACAATTTTTTTCTTTTATCTCTTGAAATTCCTGTTTAATTTAATCAGGAATTCAAATGGTTCTTATGGTTTTTTTTTTCTTTTTTTCAGAGAACAAAATTGAATTATATTATTAATCTAATGAAAAAGTCAGCAGAATGGTCTTAACTTTATTCATGCTAATATTTAAAAAATTTTTAAGACTTATGAAAGGAGCAAAAGATGTTTGTTTTCTGGAAGAAAATGATCTTATCAGGATGATTAGAATCATTAGTTGTTGAGTTAAATAGGCCGTCCTTTATATTTGACATAAATTATAACTAATTTAGTACTATTAATTTGTTTACTTCAGGCATTCCGAAAGGAACTTGTTCATCTCTTTAATCTATCCTCGATAACATTTTTGTGTAAGAACCCTAGTTGCTTTGATAATCAATACTAACCTTCTAAACATATGAAAAACATGGTGTCGATAACCAGTCATCTATAATATTAATGAATTCAGAAGACTCTTGGTTCTTAGTTAATACGATTGCACCATAACTGTTGTTTTTGATTCGTCAGACTCTGGCAGATCAGATGTTACAAACACTACAAAACAATTACATTCTAAATTTATACAGTGGTTTTGTGCAACATTGTCCTCAAGACTCTACTAAAATCTTGGCAAGTCATAGTAACTGCTGTGTGACAGAGGTACATTAGCCGAAATGAGAAGGACATCAGGCACTCAAATCAGAAGAAGATGATCGAGTTTCTCGAGTCAAAAGGATAGGGATGCCGATATGCGTTCGACAGACAGGCCTTCAAACACAGTGCAAATGCTTTGAACAATAAGTATTTCAGATGACATTCGCCAACAACATTAATACCTTCTCAAACCAAAGAGGGAACACTTGACCTAGTGCCTGCATCCACACACACAGTGAGGACATTTAACACAACAAAAAACCATAAGAATCTCTTATAGCCACTAACATGTATTAGACAATTTCAGATTCAACAATTTACATTTTGTTGTAAAAAAAAAAAGGAAAATCCTTTTTCGAAGCAGCTGTCAGTTGGCAATTTTTCTTATAAAAAATATCTAAGTAAGAACCAACGTAAATTCATACTTATGATTGAGAAGCATCAGGTCAAACAACCGCCTATGGATGCATTTATTCACTAGTTACCCAAAAATGGGTCCCATAAAAGGTGATGCTCACAGAAATGCGTGAACAAATCATCAAATATATTTAGTAATGTCATCCTATTCATTAGCTCTATGATCATCAACACAAAACAAGGAATATGATTTGTATAGAAGTTTCATTTAGTAGCTGTAATAAAAAGATAAATGACGAGGCTAGCAGAAATACTACCCAATGACCAGCAATAACCTTCCTACAAGCTTTACTTCCATATATTAGTCACCAGGGAATTTTCAAGAACATGGTTGGACATGATTATGCAAGTAACAATATGGTTAGCTTTAATCCTAATAGAGCACCAAGTGCAAGGTCCTGCTTGTCAGCAAAAGTTAAAAAGAGCTGGAACCTAATATAATCTCAGAATGAACAAAACTTCCCAACTGTAGACTGCTATGGACTTCAGATACCAATAAATGTATACAGTAATTCTATTAAGGGTATCCAATCATCCAAACCACTGCTCCATTCAGCAAATTAAGGAAACCAACTGTTGCCTTAGGTTGACAATCATATCAAATGTTTGCCATCTCAAATACAGTCACCCCTTAATAAAAGATGTTGCCTCACCAAAATGGTGGTAATACAGCACAACAATTCAGTAGAATACCTCATAGTTTTGTTTCTAGAAAAACATATATCATGATGTAAAGCAGATGTAAGGTTTTTTATAGCCAAAAGCTTTCCCTAAATGAAGAGGAACCATAGTCCACTATCTACAACTTCTTATTCTCCAAGAAAAAAATAGAATTAGCGGCAAATAGTGCACAAGAAATGACATACATTACAATGGTAAAGGAAATTTGACATGGAAACACTAAGCTGGGAGATTGATACCTCAAATATTGAGACACTCCTCAATTTCCTGCTTTTTGACCTTCTTGATATATGCTTCATGCATATTAGGAAGTTGATCCTTGTAAGGGAGAACAAAATCCTTCAGAAACTTCAGCTCTGATATGTGTAGAGCAGAACAAAGGGCACACCTTTTCGATTTCCTTTCATTCAGAATTTTCAAGACTTCGTTTCTTGGCTTAACCCTTCTTTCCAAATCATAGGCGATCAGTTTAGGGTGGGAAGCCAAGTACTCAGTATCATACCCAAGTTCCTTGATGAAATAGTCTAAAGCTCTTTTCCATCTATCTATTGACAAGGATAAACAATTAGGATAAAGCCTAATAATTTTAAATATAGCCTCATCCGAAAAGCCATAACATCTTAGAAATCGGAACTTCGCCTCCATATTCGACTGGCTACACGAGCTGAGGAGTTTGACCCCTTGTACGAACACAGGAGAATGGCGAGGAATCCCCAAATCATTTTCCACCCTAAGCAACCTTTCCAGAAGACTTTGAGTGGTTGTTCCCAAAAAAGGCGTCGAATTCCAAGTAATCAATCCACCGATATTTTTATCAGTAATGCCAAAGTTTCTAAGCAGCAAAATGTTCTTTTCCACCATTTCAGGATCAAAACTCAGAAGGAAATAACATCTCTTCAATGCCAAGGCTACTTTCTCATCACCACCCAATAATTTCCGAAAGTAATCAATTCTAGGTTTAATACAAGAATCCAATCCTAAAGTAAGCGAACCAACAGAAATGAACCTGCCTAAGTCCGACCCGGAGAAGCCAAGTTCCCGGAAGAAACTAACCTTCGGTTCAAGGGTTTTGTCCACATCATAGAACAATAACCTGGGGTCTGCGGAAACTATTTTCCTGATCTGGGTTTTGCTGACACCCAAATTCTCTAAGTAATTGACCACTTTTTCTGGTTTATCGTCAAAGGGTTTAGCGCGACTTACCTTATTTGAACTGCGTACGGCTGTTTCTTTGGAAAAACCAAGCGACTGAACGAGGAAATCCACCAAAGCAGCATTTGGAGATTGAGCAGTTTGGATGGCTGTGCAGTAGGAGTACCTGTAGACGGATTTGAAGAATATGGGGATGCCGCCGGCGCCATTGAAGCGGTGATTGACGGAAAGTCGAGAAAGCATGGTGATTAAATGCTGGAGTTTCAGCTGCTTTTTGTATTTATAGTTTATTGAGTAGATAATATCCTAGGGTGGCATTTTGATTTGTTTGCATCTTGTTCTTGTGAGATTTTATTTTTAGTTAACAAAATATTCTCTTTCTGTCTCAAAATTTTTGTTCAATTTGTATTTTTAGTTTTAGTTCAAATTATATTAATAAAAATAAAAAAATCAAAATGAATAATAATTTTAAAATAAAAGGAGTATTAAATAAAATTTAAAACAAATCAATAATATTCAGAAGAACATAAAATAATTTGATTTGTTTATTATTGCGTTTTTCATGCGTTCTATCATTTAATTTATAGTCACGTTTAATTTATTTTTTGCATAGAGTTAATAGGTATTATTATATTATTATTATTATTACAATTTTTATGCATTCAATCATTTGATTTTGTTTCATTTCATGAAACATTTTTACAATTTTAGTTGATTTCATTCAAGTATTATTTATAATTGCTCTTTTTTTTAATCATCAATTCAGTACCTTTAGTTATGTGGATGCTATAATTTATACTTATGATTGTAACCTTATTTATTTACTGTTATATAACAGGTACTATTACCAAATTCAAGTGTATTTCATATTTTTTAAAGAATATTTATCATTAATGATAAAAATTAATGATAATACAAAGAAAAAGAATGCTAATACTAGTAGTGAAAATTAAAATACTGGTGCTAAAACAAAGAAAAAGAGAACGAGTATAATACTCCATATTTATAGTGAAAATTAAAGAGAAATTATCCTAGTACTGTAGTATAAGTCTAAAAAAAATACACAAAGGAAAGAGACTCTTGAATTCTTAAGACGGCATTTTCACCATGGCAATGCTTTCCCGCAAATGCTGGCTTCGATTCCGAGCCATCGGCGGCAGCCTCTCCTTGAAATCCCTCGTCAACCTCTCTACAGCCACCACCCTGAAGGCGCCTAACCAGAATGCTGATGTGGTGGATTACCTTGTTAACTCACTTGGGTTCTCCAAAGATGCTGCCATAACCACCATAAGTAAGGTACCTCGCTTACGCCCTTCTCCCGAAAAAGCCAATTCAGTTGTCAATTATTTACAAAATTTGGGGGTCAATAAATCGCACATCCGAAATATGGTTTCCGGGCACCCTAGTTTATTAGTTTGCAGGGTTGATAAAACCCTAGAACCCAAATTTAAGTACTTGCGAGAACTTGGTCTCTCCGGGTCGGACCTTGTTAAGGTTATCTTGGGTTACAAATTCGTCTGGAGATTAGCATTGGATACTGAAATCAAATCTCGAGTTTTGTATTTGCGACAATTGGTCGGTACTGATGATAATGTACTTACAGTGTTAAAGAGATATTCTAGGGTGCTTGGTTGCTGCGACACTGAATTGGTAGAAAGTAATTTAAAGCTGCTGAGAAACTATGGCATTTCCGAGGATAATATTGTGAAGCTGATCGTGAGGCGTCCTAGAAGGATTTTTGCCACAAAGCCTGAGGAGATGGAGGAGATTTTACATAAAGTAGAAAGAGTTTTGCGCATTCCTCGTCAATCCGCTGCTACCTTCCACTATGGAGTGGAGGTCATCTTCTCGTTCAATGAATCTAACATTGATGAGAAATTAGAAGTGTTTCGGAGTTTTGGATGGTCTGACGCAGAGATCTTTAAAATGGTTAAAATGCTACCCCCTGTTTTGCGCGTGTCAAGTCCTAGAATAAGAGAAGTACTTGATTATTTCATGAACGAACTTGGATACAGTTCAGACTACCTGGCTTCCCGCCCAATTTTTCTTACATATAGTTTTGACAATAGGGTGAAGCCACGGAATGAAGTTTTGAGAATTCTATGTGAGAAGAAGTTGAACAATAGTAAGGCTGGTTTGTTTACTGTTTTGGCCTTGCCAGAGCCACGGTTTTTAAAGAATTTTATTCTTCCTTACAAGGACATACTGCCGGATATATGTGAAGCTTATTTGAGTAAAACTAAAACGCCAAAGAGCAAGTAATGTGGTGTTATACAGATAAGAAAATTTTCAGGTTGTTTTTCGAATTTTGCTTTAGTTCTTGTTTTGTTGTTGGTTTTACTGATTTATTTAGTTTGTCTTTCTACTTCTGTGTACTGATCTGGAACTATTTTGCACCCTGTAGTTTATTTTCTTATTCCTGAACGAGCATACAATATCTTTTTTTGAGGGGTTAATGCAGTTGAGATGATTGTTTACCTGAGAAGGCGATAGTTAATTTCCTTAATTAGCTGAATAGCGCAGTGGTTTTGGTAATTGAATAACCTTAACAGAACGATTCTATACATTTACTGGCATCTTAGTATTCTATAGTTTGAAAGTCATTAATTCTAGGATTATACTAGGTTCGCAGTTCTTGTGAACTTTTGTACCTGCTATTTGTCGAGCGGCACCTCTTACTTGTTTCAGTTAGATGACTAAATCTAACCAGATCACTTATAGCATAGTATTGTTTCACCATGTTTTTGAAAATTTCCTGTTGACTGATATCTGGAAGAAATGAAAGCTGGGGGTTTCTGATTATTCCCTCATATTATTTGCTAGCTTTCATTTAAATTATTGTTATTTTACATTTCAACTTTCTAAAACGGGACTTTTGTATGATCCATTTCCTTTGTTCTGTTCTAATGCCCTTATAACAAGAAAGACATTAAAATTCGACAGACCTTGATGATTAGTTTGATCTTTTCTTTGAGGTTTATGTCATATAATTCTAATGTGCTAATGTGCGACCCCATTTTTGGGAAATCAATGAATCGATGCATCAGGTAGCTTGGCTCAGTTGCTGATACCATTTTTGTAGGAATGTACGTTACTAAATGGTTCTTAAATTGTGATATTTCAAATTGGAAAAAGTTGCCGACTGACAGCTGCTTTGAAAAGGTCTTTTTTTTCCTTTTTTTTTTGGCTGAATGTAAATTGCTGAATCTAGATTTGTACTATGCATTAGTGGCTATAGGAGTTAGGAGATACTCTGCTGGTTCTTCTCATTCTGTTAATTGTCCTTCTCTATATGCGTTGATGCAGGCCATATGACAAGCACTTCCTCAGTGGTGAAGGTAGGCGAATTTCGTTTTAGATACTCATTGATCAAAGTGTTTTTCCACTGGGGTTGTAGGTCAATCTGTCAGTTTCATATCCGCATCCCTATCATACTGACTGGAGAACTCGTCTTCTTCTAATTCATAGTGCCTGCAGTTTCACCCTCATTTTGGCTAATATAACTCGGTACATAGCTCTTATTATAACTTTGGCACAGATTCATCATAAGTTTAGACTGCATTTTCTCAACGTGTGGCCCAATATGTCTAAAAGGTGGACCGCACTAGTTTTGGAATGAGTGTTTACATCTGATCTTAGATCTTGTGCAAGCCTAGAAACTAACAGTCAGAAGTCTAATGGAACTTGAAATGTCAATGATCATTGTCGTCACTAAATCCGTGTACGTCAACATAGTTTTTTCATTTAGTGGTTCAGTAATTGACTAAGTGTTTCTCATACTAGAGGTGACTGGGTGTTGCTCTGTTGTTTCCTCGACCGCCATTGTTTTGAAACTCACTTGAATAACCGACATCTTCTTCGGAGGATGTGGGAGTGTTTAATCTTCTCTAAATAATCTATCATTCAGTTCGGATTAGAATAGGTGCTTCAAGGACAGATGGTCAAATCATTCATAAAGTAGAACGCAAATAGGCCGAAGTGGAAGCACTTGCCCAATATTGGATCATTAAGGGTATGCGTGTTCAGGGTGTGTTGGTTGGGGAATGATGCAAGTCTTATTTTTGCTTTTGTGCGGAGAACTCCAGAAAAAATAATTATTCCATTCGCCAGACTCGAAATAATTGTCATGTTTTTAATAAAATAAAATTAGACAATAACTTTGAGAGTACAGGTAGTTTTTTCACGAATTAACTGACAAGGTCACTTATTCGCAATGAAACTTTGGTTTTCTATACTACACATTATTATCAGGCCATGTCATTGTTTCATTTAGCTGTATGATTTCACTTTTTCAAATATTTTTTGTACAATGACTTCGGTTAAACACTACAGCAACACCGGCGAGAGCAACCTTTCTGCCCCCATTAACTTATAAGAGGCTCTTCACACATCCTAAAAGCTCTTCAGCCATGGCTTCTAGTTTTGGGACCCGGTTGATGAGACAATCCATGCCTTCCAGCATTTCTTCTGCCTCTTCGAGGGATTTCTTCTCAATAGCGTTCTTCCATTCCTCTATGCTCACATTAAGGAAACATGGTATATACCGTGATTCAGACTTCCAAAAAGATCATTAATCTTCTCAATGCCGGCTGCCAAAGAAGAAGAAGGAGACTCATGGCGCAGGCATCTTTCTATACCGAAACTCGTAGTTGAATGCGGCTGGATTAACCATTTGGAGAGACGATAAGACCACAGGTTCCTCAACGTCGTCAAACATCTGGCCGCCTCCCTCCGAAGATTTCAGCTTCTTTGACGAAGCAGTTGACATGTTTAAGATGAAAGTTTAAACAAAAAGATACAAGAGAGAGGTGCCAAAAACAGTTTGATGAGGGGAGTATTGTTATTATTCTCTGCCTTGGGTTGTTTACATAGAGAAAAGAAAATCCCCAACTATTTCCAAACTAAAATTGGGTTTAACTTAGTCGTTTGGGATTCGTTTTCGAACAGAAGGTCATGAGTTGAACTAAACATATTCTTATTTGGAGTCCCAAGGGAATTGAACTAATGAGGATTGTCCTAGTTCAAACAATGTAATTAAGGTACTAAACTTACAATTACATTTGCAACATATGTTTGTTAGTAAATAAATTATGTAGCTAGTTACTAAGCTGTATTTAAGTGGCGGAGATGTTGGTAGAGACAAATTTTACCGCTGATGACATCAAACTTTTAATCTGAAGCTACCACTGAGGAGAATACTAACAGTTGGAACACTTTGAACTTCTTTTCCCTCATCAGTTTGCCGATTTTCAAAAGCCTGATGAGTATAGAATTTATTGCATGTCGATCCTCTTTGTTCCTGCATACATAACACAGATTATCAAAGCTCCACTCCACCTAACATATGGATGGATCAGGAAATCGACATTATTTCCCATGTGGGAAGAATTGGAAGCCCACCCACTGATATCCACCCAGATGGCAACTGAACTAACTAAAAGAGAAAATAAATGAGAGATCAAGATGTGTTCTAAAACATCGTCCACAACAAAGGCAGATTTTCACCAAATTCTTATGTACTGCTACCTCAAACCTTTATTGCTTAAAAGCTACAAACACATTTAGCTGAGTCTCTACTTTCAGTCTACATTATTTTACACCTTCTACACAGGAAACTGTAAATTTGAAGTGGTAAAATACAAATAGAGCTTACACCCTGTAAGCAAGGAGCACTCTAGAATTCTCAAACAAGGAGTTAGCCTAAACTTTCAAACAATTAAGAATCGAAATTCCTTTAGGATTCAGCTGGCCTGGCATTAGTAGTACTTCAATATTTATATAACATATACATATTGCCTAAAATCATGTGCGTCACAAATAGTTAGACAGCACAACAAATAAGTGACAGTGTCAATCATAAAGGGCCAAGTACTAACAGGACAACATATGGTAACTACATTCATTCCAAAGGTACAAATTCCCAGCTCAATATAGTATAAACTTAGAAATTAGAACATAAGAAAAGATTTGGAAAATGCAATGGAGATATCAATATTGGTCAGTGTAGGAAGATTCTGATAGATTAATGCATTCTTGTTGGAAACTGTGGTGATAAGCATGCAACACTTTACCAAGGATGCCCTTTAGAAAAATGAAGATGAAAAGTATTATAGCACACAATAAAAATTAAACAATGAAACCAACAATGACACAAGGACAACAACACACAAAACGCCATGCTAGCGGGTATATTACCTGAAACACATCTTATTCCTAGATTTTTGGTATTTCAGCTTTACTGAGATAAGTCTCACACATGTCTGGCCGTACATTCTTGTAAGGACGAATATAATTCTTCAGAAACTTCGACTCTGACATGCCCAAAACAGTTAACAAACCTCCTTTCCACTTGTTCAAATTCTTCTCATTTAGAGTTCCAAGAACTTCAATCCGTGGCTTCACATACTTTTCAAAACTTAATGTTGGCAAAACCGGGTGGGAAGCCAAATAGTCTGCACTATACTCAAGCTCGTTCATAAAGTAATCAACAACTATCCATATCCTAGGACCTGAAAGCGTTAGAACTAAATGTAGCTCCATAAGCATTCCAAAAAGCTGCAACTCTGACCAGCCAAAGCTTCGGAACACTCCCAATTTTTCATCAATGTTTCACCAATTGAATGAAGAGCAGACCTCAAGCCCATGGCGGAACAAAGGTGAATCACGAGGAATGCCGAAAACGTTTTCGACCCTTAAGTAAACTAACCTTCATGCCCTCCCGCCATAGCTGCCATCAAAGGCCTTTAAACCTTTTTCATCTCTACGAATTTCATGGAAGTCAATTCATTCCTGCTCATATACCACAGATGATTATATTTTGTAAGTTCCCATTACACCTAGTGCTTCGGTGAATTTCACTCCCAAGGTAAGAAATTCCCAGCTCACCATAGTATAAACCTATTAACCTAGTGATAGCATATTAAGAAAAAAAATCTGGAAAATGCAATGGAGATACCAATAGCAGTCAGTGGACAATCGGAAAACAACCTTATTAATTTTTCTGATAGAATAACAAGACATTGCATTCAAGGAGGCTACTCAGTCAACAGATGGTCATTCACTCCCAAGGTAAGAAATTCCCAGCTCACCATACCATAAAATATAAACCTAGTGAGACAACATTAAGAAAAAAAAAATGGACGATGCAATGGAGATATCAATAGCAGTCAATGGACAGTAGGAAAACAAATTTACTTAGATTTTCGATAGAATATCAAGACATTGCATTCTTGTTGAAAATTGGGTGCTTGTGGTGATATGATCACAACACATTATCAAGGATACTTCTTTAGAAAAATGAAGATAAAATCAAACAAGTATAGCTCTTATCTCTGAAACTGAGATGAGTTGCAGGTACGAGACAATAAAATTGAACAATTGAAACTGACAACCGCACAAGAACAGCAACACGACAAACGCCAAACTTATGGGTATATTACCTGAAACACATCTCATTCCTTGATCTTTGGTATTTCAGCTTTACTCAGATAAGCATTATACATGTCTGGCACTGGCAGTACATCCTTGTAAGGAAGAATATAATTCTTCAGAAACATCGACTCTGACATGCTCAAAACAGAAAACAAACCTGCTTTCCTCCTGTTCAAATTCTTCTTAGTTAGAGTTCTAACAACTTCAACCCGTGGCTTCACCCTCTTATCGAAACTTAATGTAAGAAAAACCGGGTGGGAAGCCAGATAGTGTGGACTATATCCAAGCTCGTTCATAAAAAAATCAACAACTATCCGTATTCTAGTAGCAGTCTGTGTTAGAAACATTGGTAGCTTCCTGACAATTCCAAATATCTCCAAGTCTGACCAGCCAAAGCTCCGGAACACTCCCAGTTTCTCATCAATCGTTGACTAATAAAAGGAAGCGAAGACATCAATCCCATAGCAGAACATAGCTGAATCACGAGGAATGCCCATAACATTTTCTACAACATGTAAAGTTTTCTTCATGTCAGCAGGCTTTATCCGGAAGAAACTCCTTGGATGTTTAACTATCATCTCACAATATGTTCATTGGGAATGCCATAGTTTCTCAGCAGCTTCAAATTACTCTCCACCATTTCAGGATTCAAAGTTCCAAGCACCCCAGAATAGCCCTTTAAAACTTTGACAACATTATGGTCAACACCCACCAATACTCTCAAGTACAAAACTTGAGATTTCATTTGGGTATCTAATCCTAATTTCCATACACTTCTGTAACTCGTGACAACTCTGATTATGTCCGGTGTGGACATGCCAAGTTGGTGGAAAACTTGACTCTGGGTTCGAGGGTTTTATCGACCTTGCAACATAATAACGGAGAGAATCCAGAAACCATAAATCTGATCTGGGATTTACTCAAACCCAAATTCTCAAAACCGAATCGGCTTTTTCTGGTGACGGACGGCGTCTAGGTATCTTACTTAAGGTAGCGGTGGCAGCATCTTTGGAGAACCCAAGTGTCGAGGGTGAATTCTGTTAGGACGAGGGTCAACGGTGTCTATGGACCTGAGACCTGCAAAACAAGGATTAACACTCCGACGAGCAAGCTCTGACAAGCAAGTCAGTACCAAGAATGAAAGTATAAAATGTGAGCCAAGAAGGGAGTAGTCCCATGAGCCCAATCTCCACCACAACAAATAGGATATATATATATATATATATATATATATATATATATATGGGATAAGGGAGAACATTCCTTGAAATATTCCTTTTAATGATGGGTTAGGGCCATTGTTAGGGATTTAGCCGGCCCAATAAGCCATAAAGGAATATTATCGGACCCATGAATGGTTGTCGGCCCAAGTGAAGTTGCACCTCCAACAAGTGCCCCTGCCAAGTGTTAGTAGAGAAGCACATATATGCAATAACAGTGTTCAAATACAATACTTGGCAAATAATAGTATGGAGCTGTAGTGCGGACTCACGGGGGATCCGTCCATTCAGGGGTCTACCTGATTGGATAAACCCATAACCCTTCATGGTGGCTGAAGAATAATAACAGGTAACTGTAATAGGAGTGCAAAACATTGTCACGCCGAACCCTTGTCGAGGGTCGCATTTGGTTACCGAACATGCCCAGAGATAAGCTGAAACCGATTGCGCCACTTGTGTGGACACCAGAGCGAAGAGGCACAAATCGTTTGAGGAGTTTATTCCCGATCCAACAAAGAGGTCAAGAAAGAAAGAAGGTGACAAAGAATTCTTCTTGAAGAGGTGACGTCAAAACTTGTGACAGCACGTGATAGGTTGGAACACCAACACGGATAGACCTCGTTGGGGCATGATAGACAGGAGTTTGTAACTGCTGCATGATCGATCAATAGTGGGTATGTAAGGAAAAGTTCGATCCCGAAGTTAACCCAACCTTGTGTCTGAACCCGAGACATATAGTATAGAATGACTCGATAGAGGAACATTATCTGAATGTCAATAGACGAGGATGAACGTCCGGGGAGCTTAAAGCTCGCTGGAGATACACCAAGGCTAATGAAGTAACCGAAAGCTAATAATGATGGCCCAACGAAGGCCAAAAGGTTTCTATGGACACAACGTAAGTTAATTACAACCTGTGTCGGCACAGGGTAGGCCGAGGGAAATCATCATCGAATTACTAATTGCTTAGGAGCAGGAGTTTGGTGTCCGACGTTGTCTGATACGTAGTAAGGGCATCCGTGGTCCCCTGCGGACACAAAAGAGGTCTGAAGCTTCGATTACATAGGTAGAGACAATGAAAAGTGGATCATGATGGACCACCGGACTGAGTTAGGTTATCATCAGCCGAAGACGACCAATGAGGAGTCAAAAGTTTATTTTAGATTAAGCTGACGCTGGTTAAGTCATCAAGTGACGAAAACCAACAGTGATGGCTCAATAAAGGCCGAAGGTGTCACGGACGTTCCGTGAGCAAGATGTGAAACCTGATGATAAGTGAAGAGGCGTACGATGATCATCGAAACGTCAATAGTCAGTAGGTAGGTTCAACCGTCAGGAGAGGTGATTAGAGCTAAGAAATTACCCCCTTTATGATGTTTTCAGAAAAGGACACTTGCGATAATCAACAGATAAGCGAAGAGGAGTGATCCTCATGCTAGTACTCCTGGACAAGTGTGTAAGCGATCGGACGGAATGAGGGGCGTCGTCGAGAAGACATAAATCTCAGCGGCCTGTAGTAAGTAGAGGGATGTTGTCGAGACGAATAATCAGTGTACGTTTGTACTCGAAAGAGGTGGGGCAAACAGGTTGCCCCTTTCATCTTCGAAGATAGAAAAATATTCACAAGTGCAGGTAAACAGGACGAGTCTTATCCTAAACTTTAGACGAGTCAATAAACAGACTCCCACATTGACCTGCGTCATAATGGACTGAGCCAGGAGGATTAGTGCGACATTGGTTGTTGAAGCCGAGATATATATATATATATATAAACTCTTGAGAAGAAGTCACGCTTTGATAAGAAAGATGGCGACGGAGCATAACAAAGTGTTGTCCGAATGACGCCATCGAAGACTATCGTTAAATTCGCGTGAAGTCAACAATGCACCATCGGGGATTATGATTCGACCCGAAGGATACATTAATAAGAATTTCTTTCTCTCTCGGGGGCGAGAGTTGAAAAAATAAAAGGTATTGCCACCGTCGGGTAATATGAAGGTCACTCAAGTAAAGCGGTGCCAATGGCGCTGAAGACTTAATATGGCGCTTATAAAAAGGACGGAAAACGGGCGCCTAGATAGGCAGAACCTGACTCTGAAGACTTCATCCAATTTAATTACTATGAAAGCGTTCTGATTCTCCCTCGACGGGTTTAAACATTAGTAGCTGTGAAGTGGGATGGAGCCTTCGACAGAATATCGTTGCTTCGGGCATACACTGGTCAGTTGGGGTCGACATTAACAGACGCTATCCATTTTATCGTGGAAAGAGGTAAGGAATACGACTTCTGATCCTAATGGTCCGAACCCGAATGTGGGTCGTCCCTGGATCACTTATATGCGAGGCTGAGTGGTGGATATAACCAAGCTCTTTCATGAGTTAGGACGAGGGTCATCCTAATCGGGAGTAGGTCCCACTTTAGTTGCCAGGCAAGTGTATTCATAGGAAAATATAGAATAGAATGGATTATTTTGAAAAAACAACCCCACTTCCTTACCTTTTATTTCCTTTCACTTGTTTGCTCCGTCCTCTTATATGTTGTTATGACAATTGATTGTTTATGTAGGTGCCTACTAATTTATTGTTTCACATATAAAACTTTTGTTAGACGTTTAGAGGATAGTGATCGTCCCTTCCCCCCAAGTTTTATATTTAGAAACGTGTTAGAAGCGTGTTTTTTGTGTATGGGTTTACGGAATTTGTATAACTTTTCAGTGTAATAAAGAAGTTGTAAGCCCAAAAAGCAATAGGTGCCATCAACCACGGGGGTCGACACAATTTTGAGAGAGCTCCGCGGCCCAGGGGGCACAAGAGCACCATCGGCCACGGGGGTCGACGGCGTACTTGTTGGGATAAGCTTGCTTCCATAGATAAGAAACGTATTTGAGTATAGTTGGCTAATTACTTGATTGGAGTTACGTAGGTGATTAATGGCCCTTGGCTGTGTTTAGCCAATACAAAGTTTGTACGACCCCTAGGCTGATTAAGACGTGTGTGTGTCTTTCTCAAGATAGAACTAGAGTCGAGAGAGTATGAGATAAAGAGGCTTGATTGAGGCCGATGTGCATTTGTTGCAAACCTTTGTATACATCATTCATGTCTACAATCTCTAAATCATCCAATTCAATCACCCAAACATCCAACCCAGTAAAAGGGACCTGATAAAGATTCCCAACTACATTTTCATTTGTAGCCACTTCATACATCTTGTTAATTCATGCATACACAATAAACCCAACTCATAATCTGGAAACACACAGCTCATCTTACTCGTATAAACATTGTTGCATTCATGTATTAACTTTCTCCCGAAGTGGATGACAATGTCGATCTTACCCCACTTGGACGAACTCCCAACAGCTGAAAAAAAATATATATATATATATATATATATATATATATATATATATATATAATCTTCACTCAAGTTTGACAACTTTGATCGAACGTAGCTCAAAGTGCGAAAAAGCAAAAAAGACCAAAACTTTACATATGATAAAAATGATTTACGTTAAAACCAAAAATTCTTTATGAAGTCCTACACCCTTATAAATTAAGGTTTTAGAAAAGCCCTTTTCCCTAAAGATTCCATCATTTTGGTCAACAGTATGTATTAAATAAATGGATTACATTACTCATCAACATAAATTATGCAAAAAAATTTCGAAAGGGACATGTAATGGAGAGGGACCATATAATGGAGGGGGACCATATAAATCAAAGGGGCAAATATAAAATTGAAAACCTTACTTGGGTTCTGATCACCGGCGTTGCTAGCCATTATAGCAAGATTATCTCCTTCACAAAGTAGGGATTTGAATAGCATGAAATCCATGCAAAAAAAAGGGGAAAAAAGGGGAGAAGAATGACCAGAAGCAGCTTCCAATTGGGTCTAATTCGACGAAAATAAAATTCATGTTACCATTTTTGGTGTGTTAGATTCAGATTTTGTGAAAATTATGGAGTGATTCTTTATTTTTTTTTTTTTGTTGGAGGAATGGGATTAGGGTACAAAGATGAGGAGTTGACTTTTTCTTGAGATGAAATGAATTTGTCGACTTAAGCAAGTGAAGGAGGATTTTTTTTTACAGTAAATGGAATTTTTTTAACGACGTCAGTCTTGAATGGTTCCGTCTAATTAGCACGTTTCGGAAAAGCACAGGGGGGTTATCGTGTAGTTTATAAATCATGGGGGATTCTCGTGTGCTTTCCGAAACCACCGGGGGTTCTTGTGTATTACCCTTTTTTTTTCTCTCTCTTCTTTTGAACTTTTAATTGACAGTTAGTCCCTTAACTCTCTCTTCTTCTATAAGTTTCCACGTCCGTGGTGTTTACCATAACTAATGGGGCTTTTACAATTGCACTAATCATCTTTCATTCCCCTTTTCAACAAAATTATTTTTTACTCCCACATTGAATTTTGTTCAAATTTCAAAAGTTAATGTGGACTGTCTGTTAAACTTGACATAAAATTTAGAAAAAGTACATGATAATTGGGTAGACCTAATAAATTAGGAAATACAACAAAACACGGAAGAACTTGATATATTGTCGATATATGTACTGATTGAATCGATCATGATGCCATTATATAATTCATATTGTTGACCTCACATGGTGAAAAAAATAAATTAATTTGCTGTTGTTGTGACCTTAAAAAAATAATAAATAAAATAAAAATTTGAATACGATGATTAAAGAGATTGCAATCAGTATACTCATTTTATTCTCATATTTTCTTGACAGATACATTATATTGGTCTAATGTTGAGACGTGAGAGATAATATATAGAATTAGTTAATAAGCTCTCATTGTTTTTTCCCTTTCTATCCATTGGTGTACATTCAGAATCCTGTAAAATGGTTTTAATGTATATGATGAACCTGACTTTGCATATTTTTCTTTTATTTTTTTGGTGTAATATTTGAGTGAATATGTATAAGCAAGGCATTTGTGATCGGCTGATCAGCGCAAGTAGATGGTTTGTTTAAGGCGCCGCAGATCTTTGTCAAGGATCTTATCGGAAGGATTATTTCCCTGAATTTTGAGAGCACTTACGCAATGACAATCTGAAGGCTAGGCTAAGGAGGTTAACCAACTAAGGTTGCTTTTTGTAGGAAGTCAGTTGGAAGATGGCCGGACTGAATACCATTTTCTTAGCATTACTCTTGTCAACTTCCGACAGTTGTTTGCTTTACCATCCTTGAGGCAATGGCCAGTGCCATTTGTTTGTTTGTTTGTTTGTTTTTTTTTTTTTTTAATTTATAATTTGGTTCATAACAAAGGAATGGGCAGAAATGAACCTTTTCGCGTGTATATGCATGACTAGTCAATATTTCTACCTTGAACCCGCGTTAACGCTTGATACTAGTGTTAACATTTTGTTCGGTCTTTAATCATCAATGTATGATTATGTTACAAAGTATGTTCCCTCAGTGATCGATCGGTTTGGTAATCACACATTATCGAATATGTCTGGACGCCAATAGGGGTGGTCCAAATGGTAAAGGGCTAGGCATCCAATCTAGAGATCTTGGGTTTGAAATTCCATAGCAGCAAAAATGCTGCTTTTCTTTGCAGGTTGCAGTTGGAAGGTCTTCAAGCATCCGATGGACACGCGGAAAGAGTTGCAGGCGTGGAGTCGTCCCCCACTAGACTAGGCTAGTAGTAGGTCTCTCTCCTTCAGACTCACACATATAATAGCTTAGGTACTTGTAAGAATTGTATCGAAAAAAATATCTGGACTATTTTTTGAAACGATACTAATGTATTATTATAAATATATATTATTATAGATCAACTATAAAACAAGGAATCTTAACATTTTTGTTGTTCAAATCTGGTAAACAGTAATTAGGAAAGAAAAAAAATAAAAATTTACAAGAAAAATGTAAAAATATTTTATAATAATAATTGGGAGAACATTATAAATGTGAAAATACAGGTTGAAAGCTTTATTTTCAATTAGAAAAATATATTAAATGAAATTTGAGTAAATTAATATCTATCTATCTATCTATATACTATACTAAGGCAAAAACTAGAGAGAGAAATCTAAAGTTAAGGAGCACATGCCACATAGGATTTTATCCTATGTGGCATTTTCTTAAGTTTTTAGATATAAAAATGCACAAAACAAAATAATAAAAACCAAAAAAAAAAACTATACTAAGACAAAAAATAGAGAGAGAAATCTAAAGTTAAGGAGCACATGCCACATAGGATTTTATCATATGTGGCATTTTCTTAATTTTTTAGATATAAAAATGCACAAAATAAAACAATAAAAACCAAAAAAAAAAAAAAATACACAACTGAAAAAGTCCAAATCCTATATTGATTCGACCAAATCCCTGCAAATCCGATGGACGGATCTCTTCCTCCTAAAAAAAAAAACGCAACTGAAAAAGAATTTTATATTAATAATTTATTAAAATAATTGAAGAAGTTAGACCAACCTGAAACTTCTATAATTTAGTTTCAAATATGGAATTGAGTTAAAATACTATGGTGATGGGTTGATGTAGCGGGGCTAATAAATCAAAAGTCACTCCGAAACGAGAAATAAAGGTCCTGATATCCAAATTTTTTATTTTTTTAATTTTTTTTATTAAAAAATTGGATGGCCTCTACAACAAGTTAGGGTTGTTGTTTCTGTAGTAACCATTCCTTATCATAAACTTTTTTTATAAAAAAAAAAAAATTCTTATCATAATTTCTTAACCACTCCAACCGACCTTTTCAACCCAGACTACAAATGTAGTCTACCAAAAAATATTGCAAGATATATAATTATTTAATTCAAAGTTCATTTTTTGGTAAAGTGTATTCGTTTGGTAAAGTGTTGTCGATATTTGTGTTTTATATTTTTTAATGAATTCATTATATATTTTATAAAAATACAAAAATCAATACAAATATTAACATTTTTTTGATTTGTTTGTGTAATAATATTTATGTATACGTGCTTCTCGTCCATTGGACGGGTCTAACACCTAGTACTACTTTATAAGAAGGACCGAACGGCAGTATAGGTCTATAGAACTCTTTTTCTAAAAATAAAAAAAAATAAAAAGAATTTATAATTGAGGAACTGAGAATTGGACCGGGGCAAATATTCTTGATAAAACTGTATGTCGAAAGGTAAAAGAAGAATCCCGTTGCCGACTTGCGCCGTTGACAAGGACATATTCTAGTACTGCGATGTTTTCTCGCAGATGCTGGACTCAAGTCCGAGCCATCAATGGCGGCTCTTTCCTCTTGAAATCCATCCTCAACCTGTCCACAACAACTACCCATAAGGCGCTCACCCAGAATGCTGATACGGTGGATTTTCTCGTCAACTCACTGGACTTCTCCAAAGATGCTGCCGTTGCCACTTTGAGTAAGGTACCTAGCTCTCGCCCTTTTCAGAAAACGCCGATTCAGTGGTCAATTATTTAGAAAAACTGGGTCTGAAGAAAACCCATATCAGAAGTATGGTTTCTGCATACCCTAGGTTACTGTTTTGCAATGTGGATAAAAGCCTAAAACCAAAAATTAAGTTTTTCAGAGAACTTGGCCTATCCGGGACGGACCTAATCGAAGTTTTGATGGCACACAAATCAATCTGGAGTTTAGGATTGGATAATCAAATCAAATCCCGAGTTTTGTATTTACGAGAATTGGTGGGTTCTGACGATAATGTAGTTAAAGTTATTAAGAGATATCCTTTGGTGCTTGGCCGTTTGGACACGGAGATGTTGGAGAATAATTTTAAGCTGCTGAGAAACTATGGGTTCACGCTTCAATGTGTTGCAGGATGGATAACTAAGAAGCCACGGATCTTTTTTGTCATGAAGCCTGAGGAGATGGAGGAGATTCTGAGCAGAGTAGAAAATGATTTGGGCATTCCTCGTGGATCAAATATGTTCCGCTATGGGTTTGAGGTAGTCTCTTCCTTTACTAGGTCAAACATTGATGAGAAATTGAGGGTGTTCCGAAGTCTTGGCTGGTCGGAATCTGAGATGTTTAGAATGGTTAGGACGCATCCATTTATTTTAACCAGGTCATCTCTTAGTATACAGAAAGCTGCTGATTATTTTAGGAACGAAGTTGGGTACAGCCTGGACTACATGGCTTCCCATCCGGTTCTTTTCACCATCAGTTTGGAAAAGAGGGTGAAGCCACGGAACGAAGTTTTGAGAATATTAAACGAGAAGAAGTTGAACAAGTTGAATACAGTTTTATATACTGTTTTGATCAAGCCAGAGTCAAAGTTTCTGAAGTATTATATTCTTCCATACACGGATATATTACCAGATTTGTATGAAACTTATATGAGGAAAGCTGAAATGCCAAAGATCAAACTGTAGCATTTGATGTTTTATAGGTAAGAAATTCTTCAATTTGAGACTGTTTTTGTTCATGTTTCCATCTTGGTTTTACTGATTTATCTGAGTCTGTCTCGCTAATTGTAATCTGGAACTATGCTGCATCCTCTAGTTTGTAATTTGTTGTCTTATCCCTGAAGGAGCATGTCGTGCAAGCTTTATGAATTTGAAACAGCCGACCTTATGATGAAAATGCACTTATAATTATTCAATCAGCAGATAATTATACTTGTTATCAGCAATATGAACTGTTGATTTTCTCTGTTGTCTTATCAAAACTTTTCCTTATTGTGAATATCTATCTTGTTTATGTTATGACTGAATTTAGTGTATCTTTTGTTGTTTTGTGGGATTGTTGTCGTCACTGGTAGTTATGAATTTCTTATAGGTTCCGGCTGTTTGAACTTTGCTATTTTTGAATCAGGAAAATCGTCTTTAAACATCTATATTACCCCGTTCCACTTTGAAAATAGGACATGGAAGTATGCTTAAATTTTCAATCATTTTCTACCAATGAGTTGGATTTTAGCATGATTGGAGATGGAGCTAATAACGTCGAGAAATATAATGGTACACATAGTAGTATAATTCTAGCTAAACAATGAGAGGGAGTAGATACTGTATGCATGTTAAGTATTTGAGCTAATATTATGAATAATTATTGGAAGTGAAGGATTGGACTCTGGTTCACTTGTAGTGTGCAATCTGTTACATTTATAATCATATGTGCCAAACGCAGTTTTTGGACTGTATCCGGATTTTGGAGGTTTCATTCCATATTTATCTTAATTATTGTCAATCAGGTTCGAAACACCATAACAGAAAATCTTGGTGCAAGAATCTCTGTTTGAAATGAATGATGTTATCCAAAAAATCTCGACTCTGCGTGGTTCTTGCTAAAAAAAATCCATTTCACTAGATAGCAGTTTCTGCCAGCATGTGGAATAATGTCTCTTTCTCTTCTTTATCAGAAGCACTAGTTGGAATTGGAACTAATGAAATCTATCATCTGTTGTATATGTGCAGGAATGAATTGACTCGCATAACATTTGGAGAGTTGAAACCTAGGTTTAAGGCAGGAATCCCGTGTTGCATTATTGTTCCATGAAAAGCATTGGCAAGCTAGAGGAAAAAGAATATGCAAATGGATAAAAGTTTCCACCATAAGGGAATTGTGGAGCTCAATTGGAAAAGAACAAATGTTTTGTACTTGTAGCTTCAGATTGAAAAAGTCGGTGTTGTGGTTATGGCCAACATTGATAAGTTTTCCTGGCTAACAATGGAGTTCAAATCTGATTCTTTGGTACAGTAAGTCATGGCTTCTACAAGTTTCTGCACCACCATCACAGTGCAGCTAATATGCGCTGGATGATTAGGCTTAGAGTTCTTTTGAAAGGAATTGTGGGAAAGGATAGGTTACTGCTAGGCTCTTGTGTGGTTAAAATTGTCAAGCTAGAAGATGTTGTATTGCCTCATTTATCGATATTATACAAATTGTATGCTGAACCTGACTTTGTATTGTACATGTTAGTTTCGGTGGGAGTCCTGTTTTCGGTTCTTTCTTGGCGCTGAAAGTGTCAGGAGACCTGTGTGTGTGTTTATTTGCAGGTGCTACATAAAAGCATCTTCTCTTCAGAAAGCATGAACGACGTAGGCGAATTTCATTTGAAATACTGTTTGATCACTTTGGTGCATTTGAAGGGCATGTCATAGCTTCCAGTATTTGTTATAGTGCCTGCAGTTTAACTCATTAGATGTTTGATAAGTTTGGTTTGTTGTACTAAAATAGTTAAATAAACAAAAACTGATACTTTGCAGAAGGAATACCACTTACTAGCCAAAATTAGTCGAAAGATGATTGCAATTGTTTTGTTTCTAGGTCATTATTCATTTGTTAAAGGAGAAAAATCATTATTTATATGCTTTTTCTGTAGTCACGTTAACTGAATGGTTCAGTTCAATTAATAATTTTGCTTCACTAGATAAAAAAAAATTAGATGAAGCCATGAGTAATTGATTATGGAACATTTTGTAGCCACGTTAACCAAATGGTATGGTTTATCATCCAACTGCCAACTACTACAGAAAATGTTAATGAGACACATCACGGAATTCCCAGGAGATTTCTTCATTTTCTAATTTCTAGTTTTCTACTCATCTTCAAATTTGACGGAAAGTTCCGGAAGCAGGCGTCACCTAATAGGTCATCTAGCAGGGCAATTTCGTAATTAGACGGATTACCACACTCCTATAAATAGAAAGCTCCGCCTCACCCTTATCATTCATTCATCCAGAATTTGAGATAGCGCTTTCTTTCTCCCCGTTCCCTTTTTTCGATCCGATTGATAATATCAGTCTTCTTTGTCTCTCAAGGTAATTGATTCTACCCGTTTTCTTTTTCCCGTGCATGGTTTTAATTTCCTGTGATTTCAGTATCTTGTGATTTCAGAATCGTTTTGTTTTGGGATTATGTGATGTGGTTGTTTCAATCGGCGATTAGGGTTTCTGTGAAAATTACGTTATCATTATATGATTATAATTTTTGGATTTTTTTGGCCGCTTGCTGTTGCCTTTTCATTATTTGTACCGTCGATTAGAGATTGATTGATGTTTCTATTTATGTTCTGTACCCGGTGATGAATTCTGTGTTATTACCTGTTCAGATTAATTCTGATTGATCCTTGATTGGAATCTGCGGTTAATTTGTTTGATCGGTGATTGCTTTTGTTAGTTGAGGTTTTAAATAAATATTGTTCTCGAGCATCGATCTTCCTCATTTTTTTTTATCGATCCTTTTTATCCCTTTATTTGTGTCATTTTCCCCCCTTTTATGTCGTGTTACTGTTCCGGGAAATATGGGTATTTAATAAATGGTTATGAACGGAAGCAGATAGTTGTATTGATAGATTGCTTTTTTGGCTGTATATGGTGTATTTTTGGAACATGGTTCTGATTATCTTCAAATGCTTGTTGGAACAGATGCAGATCTTTGTGAAAACTCTCACTGGCAAGACAATCACTCTCGAAGTTGAGAGCAGTGATACCATTGATAATGTCAAAGCCAAGATCCAGGACAAGGAAGGAATTCCCCCAGACCAGCAAAGGTTGATCTTTGCTGGCAAGCAGCTTGAAGATGGCAGGACCCTTGCTGACTACAACATCCAGAAGGAGTCAACCCTCCACTTGGTGCTTCGTTTGAGGGGAGGCATGCAGATCTTTGTTAAGACTCTCACCGGAAAGACCATCACCTTGGAGGTCGAGAGCAGTGACACTATTGACAACGTGAAGGCTAAGATCCAGGACAAGGAAGGCATTCCCCCAGACCAGCAAAGATTGATCTTTGCTGGCAAGCAGCTTGAAGATGGCAGGACCCTTGCTGATTACAACATCCAGAAGGAGTCTACCCTTCACTTGGTCCTTCGTCTCAGGGGTGGAATGCAAATTTTTGTCAAAACTCTCACTGGTAAGACCATCACCCTCGAGGTTGAGAGCAGCGACACCATTGACAATGTTAAAGCCAAAATCCAGGACAAGGAGGGAATTCCACCAGACCAGCAAAGGTTGATCTTTGCCGGCAAGCAGCTTGAAGATGGTAGGACCCTTGCTGATTACAACATCCAGAAGGAGTCAACCCTCCATTTGGTGCTTCGTTTGAGGGGAGGCATGCAGATCTTTGTGAAGACACTCACAGGAAAGACCATCACCCTGGAGGTTGAGAGCAGTGACACTATTGACAATGTGAAGGCTAAAATCCAGGACAAGGAGGGTATTCCCCCAGACCAGCAGAGGTTGATTTTTGCCGGAAAGCAGCTGGAAGATGGCAGGACTCTTGCTGATTACAACATTCAGAAAGAGTCCACACTTCACTTGGTGCTTCGTTTGAGGGGAGGCATGCAGATCTTCGTGAAGACATTGACTGGAAAGACCATCACCTTGGAGGTGGAGAGCAGTGATACGATTGACAATGTCAAGACAAAAATCCAGGACAAGGAAGGAATCCCTCCAGACCAGCAGAGGCTGATCTTTGCTGGAAAGCAGTTGGAAGATGGAAGGACCTTGGCTGACTATAATATCCAGAAGGAGTCCACTCTCCACCTTGTCCTGCGTCTCCGTGGTGGTTTCTGAATGTTTCCAGTAACAAGCTGCGTTGAATCTTTACATGGCTTTAGATTTCTGCTTTGAAGTAATGTGTTTTTGGGATTCTTGTTTAATGGGATTGTGTTTCAGTTGTTCATGTTTTTGGAAGATTGGTGGTGTTCGACATTATGTTAAATAAAGTTTCTTTCTTATTAGAACTAATCTGCTGTCTCTTATGTTAGTTTATCTGTTTGAGGCTTCTTCCAAATACTAAATGGAAGCAAGATCAGCTTGTCTCAACTCTTAACTTCTAAAATTTGGTTGGACTTGTGGATTTTGGTGCTGACAAAACTACCTTGTTTCAATATGGTTTCTAAGAAATTGATAAGATGTGATTGTAAAACAATCCCATTAAACAAGGAAACCGGAGTTGTTCAATATATTGCCGCACTGCAAAAAATTCAACGAAGGAAACCAGAATTGGCCGTGAGAATTTGATGACCAAATTAATCTTAATACAAAGTGATAAGAAGTGAAAAACAAGACGGAAATACTAACCAAAGGAGAATAAAAATTCTAATTCTACAAGAGTGTTCAAACAAACAAACTCTAGGAAATCATTTTGCTCTCTGATTTATGTAAGATACCCATCACTTAAATGAATTAAAAGCACCCAAAAATCGAAGAAGAAACAACCCCAACCAATCCTAGCTCGTCCGGATGTAGTCTATCGGTTTCAATTAGACTTTCATAGAAGATTAGCATGTTACCTTGATGGAATCGAAGATGTAAACACTGCTGCTCCTTCGAATTGAATCCTAAATTGTCCAGCTGAATTCCCACAAGGTATGCTAAAAGGATTGTTGATTTGTCCATATGTGGATCCAGGATTTAAGTTTTGCCCGGAAAACGATCCGAATCCCATATTCGGCAGCCGATGAAAACCTGTCGGTCGGAGGGATTAAAAGAAAAAAAAAAAAAACAAATGATGCTCCATTGAATGGCCGTGCAGCACCACGTGTGCGGGAGTGACCGGGCACCGTACTTAAACAGGTGCATGCCCGGTGACCAACCCCTCCAAAACTCCCCCTTTATATACTTTAGATAGATATTGTTTCTGCTACCTTTTTCCTTTCTTTGAAAAAGAAAAATTTATGACAAGAGGTAAATAAAATTAATTATAAAAAAAAAAGAGAAAAATGAAAGACCCCCGGGGAGCAGTAAAAAATTATTTGGGCAACTACAAATATAATTTCAAAAGGTTGTAGGAGCTCAGGGCGACAAACGACGATTACAGCTTTCTACGCAAATGCTGGATTCTTCGTACGAGCCATCAACGGCGGCGGCTTCCTCTTCTTGAAATCCCTCGTCGACTTCTCAACCGGCGCAGTCCCAGAATGCTGATTTGGTGGATTACCTCATCAAATCACTCGGGTTCTCCAGGGATGCTGCCGTTGCTAATTCCAGTAAGGTATCTCCCTCTGACCCTTTTCAGGAAAAAGCCGATTCAGTGGTTAATTATTTCGAAAATGTAGGTCTGAATAAAACCTTTATCAGAAGTATATGGTTTCTGTGTACCCTAGGTTACTGTTTTGCAGCGTGGGTAAAACCCTTGAACCGAAAGTTAAAAGTTCTTCCAAAATAATGGCCTGTCCGGGTCGGACCTAATCAAAGTTATCAAGGGCTACAAATCACTCTGGAGATTAGGTTTGGGCAATCTTATTAAACCCAGAGTTTTGTATTTACGACAATTGGTGGGTACTGATGATTATTTAGTTAAACTGTTGAGGAAATATTCTCCCGTTCTTGGCTATTTAGACATTGAAACGGTGGAGAGTAAAATAAAGCTGCTGAGAAATTATGGTTTTACTGATCAAAATATTGCGAAATGGATATCCAATAAGCCACAGATGTTTTTCGCCTCAAAGCCTGAGGAGATGGCAGAGATTCTGCATAGAGTAGAAAATGAATCGGGCATTCCTCGTGGATAAAAAATGTTGCCCTATAGGTTTCAGGTCGTGTGTTCGAATGCTAAGTCAAACATTGATGAGAAATTCAGAGTTCTCCGAAGTTTTGGCTTGTCGGACTCTCAGATTTTTGGAATGGTTAGCACGCATCCATATATTTTAGCCAAGTTAGGTCCTAGTATATGGAGATCTGTTGATTACTTAATGAATGAACTTGGATACAACCTGGACTTCTTGGCATCCCACCCAGTTTTTCTGTCCCTAAGTTTGGAAAAGAGGGTGAAGCCACGGAACGAAGTTTTGAAAATTTTAAATGAGAAGAAGTTGAACAAGAGGAAGGCAGCTTTATATTCTGTTTTGATCATACCAGAGTCAAAGTTCCTGAAGAACTATATTCTTCCTTTCAAGGATATATTACCAGATGTGTGTGAAACTTATATGAGTAAAGTTGAAAAACAAAAGTTCAAAAGTATTTGATGTTATTCAGGTAATCAAATTTTCAATTTAGTTTTTCAGACTATCTTTTAATTGATGTGTCTTCCAATTGTTTGACTAATATATTTCATTCTATCTAGCTGCTACTGCTACTGCTACTACTTCGTAGGAATAGTGATCTGGAACTATGATGTATCCTGTATTTTGTAACTCATTGTCGTATCCCTGTAGTTTGTAGTTAATTGTTTATCCCTGTAGTTTGTGGTTCATTGTCTTATCACTGTAGTTTGTAATTCATTTATTATGGAAAGTGGTACTAGCTTATGGGACCTTTGCAAAAGTGCATTTATAATTATTCAATCCGTATATATTTCACAATTATACTTGTTATGAGCAATTAGAGCTTTTAATTTTCTCTGTTGCTTTCTCAAAACTTTTTCTCAATGTGAATCTGTCAGTTTTTTATGTACCATCTTTTCAATGACTATTGGAAGCAAAGGATTGGATTCTTATTAGTGTTTTACACGCCAGCTATATCACTGTATGAGAACTCTTTGCAGCCCACTTATGGTGTACAAGCTGTTACATGTATAATCAAATATGCCAAAGTTAGGAATAGGACCGAACTATATTTCAAAAGGTTTCATTCAATATTATTTTCAGTTCTTGTCAATCAGATTCCAGTGAAATACCATAACCGAACTTGTTGGTGGAATTATCTGTCTTGCAATGAATGATGTTCTACAACGAATCATGACCTGTGTATGGTTCTTGTAAACAGTCCATTTCTTGAGATAGAAATGGTAGATCAGAGTTTGGCCTACGTGTGAAATAATGTCTATTTTCTTCTTTGTCTGAAGCAGTTGGTGTAATGGAACTAACAAAATCTATCATCTGTGGTGTGTATGCAGGAATGTACTGACTCCATTAAATCTGTTGAGATGAAACCAAGGTTTGAAGGCAGTTGCAGTCAATTAACGCAGGAGTCCTGTGGTTTATTCTGGTTCAATGAAAAGCATTGGCAAACTAGAGAAAGAAAATAACAAATGGTTGGTGCTGGTGGTTGCTTTGGATTGAAAAAGTTGGTGTTGCGGTATTCACCAGCAATGACTAACTTCGTTTTCCATGATGGAAGATGGGAGGGAAATGCAATGGCTGACTAGTCAAACATTTGCAAGGGAAGTTCAGTGGCTGACTAGTTAAACACCTGTTTTCTCCATAATGTTGGTTCGCATTAATTAGTTGCGTACTGGGTAGATATCTCTCCTTGTAACTATATTCGTGAAGACACCTAATTACTACTTTACAAACACGGTACCTTGATATAATGTTACTGAGAATTAATGTATGACTTTGTTGTATGCAATTTGTGCATATGGTAATAACTGTTATTTATTTTAAAATTAGACAAACCATTTTTCTCTGGTTTACAGAAGGCATGAATGACGTAGGCAAATTTCATGTTGAGTGGAGTTTTGATCACTTTGGCACTGTAGTTGAAGACCAATCTGTCGTACCTCACATAGCAGCTCATAAATGGTTAAATTTAGTGATGCTCTTCATCTTTTGTTCTCTTCTTCTTGGCTAATATAGCTCATCAAATAGCACATATTATAACATGTCCCAACAGAAGCTTAAGGACAATATGTTGCGCAGCATCAGAGCACAGTTGATGTGTCAAGCGTGAACTGGTTTAATTAGTTGCCAAGAGGAGTCTTATCAATTACTTGTTTTTTTTTTTTACTCTCAGATGGCGATGACGATTATCGTCATTCAAACTATGCACACCAGCATTTGTGGTACCATTTGTTTGCTAGACATCAACCGTTATTGCCTTGAAGTGGTTAGGGCTTCAAAGTAGTTATTTTCTTTAAAAGCGATATTTTCAGAAAGCGTTATACTCCCTCCGTCCCATAATTATTGTCCAGTTTGATTTTTCATTTATAGTTTCAATTGTACTAAAAATGAAATCTTAAATTGGATAATAATCTTGAGACGGTCGGAGTAGTATTTTTGCTGTATATCGTGTAATTTTTGGACATATGGGGCTTCTGTTGTTAGAATCCTTGGTTTGGAACAGGAACAGATGCTGATCTTTGTTAAACCTCTCACTGGTAAGACCATCACTCTGGAATTCAAGAGCAGCGAGCGACACCATCAATCAATAATGTAAAGCCAAGATTCAGGACAAGAAAGGAATTTCCCCAGGCCTTATATTTGCAGGAAAACAGCTTATGAAGTTCCTTTTGCATCATCTCAGTTACGTTTCTTAATAGAAGCAAGATCAGCATCTTTTCAACCAGGAATTGTGAATTGAAATTGTGGTCAAACTGCTTTGTTGATAATGATAACATTAGCAAAGTTATTTAGGTTGATCGAATAATTGAATTTTTTATTTGTATTAATACAAAATAGGTACGTACCTAAACCGTTACGTCGTAGTAACTTATGGAAAATGAAAAACGTAATTAACCCTTCAAAAAATCCAATATAGATTATCTTTTTTTCTTTATTACTACTATTTATTTTGAAAAACAATACTCTTTTCGTCTTCGTGTGGATTATTTTCGTGGGACGAAGGTAATATTTACTCATTATTTTGATTGAAAGGTTCTGGAACCAGAGTCACCTACCATGACACGTGGCATATTTTAATACGCCATCTTTACAGGGCGATTTCGTAATAAGTCGGATTTGTACTCTCCTATAAATTGAACCCTCGGCTTTATCCCTCATCACAGCACTCATTCAGATAAATTTTCTCTACGTTCCCTTGTGCGATTCGATTGAAATAGCCTTCTTCCTTTTTCCCTCAAGGTAATTGCTTCTTCTCTGTGTCCTTTATTAGAGTTTCAATTTTATTGTTGTTTCAGTTTCTTGTACTGTAGTTTTTAGACTAGTGTTGTTTTGGGATTTAAGGCTGTTGTTTCAATCGCGCCGATTAGGGTTTGGTCAAATTTGATTACAATTTGGGGGTTTTGCGTTGTTGTTGTTTCTAATGTTCATTTGTGATTGATTGATGGTTGTTATTATATAGTCGTATATGGTCTTTGTCCGGCGGTGAATTTTGTGTTAGTATTATATATTCCGATTATCTCGAATTGATCTTGATTTGAAGTTCGCCTGAATTTTTTTGTTGCCGTGATTTGCTTCAATCAGTTAGAGCTTTGTATCAATATTTTTCTTGATAGCTTTGACCTTTCTCAGTAGCTGTATCGATGGTTTTTTTTTTTTTTTTTCCATTATATCGCATAGAAATTTTTTGAATACATGGGTGTAATGTTATTTGAATCATGGTCTCAGGCATATGCTGAATTTTGTTTTGATTGATCTGTAGCTTGCTTTTTATGGTAAAATATGCAGAAATTTGATTGATCTGTATTTTGCTGTATGTTGTGTAATTATTGGGATATGGTCTTGAAGCTGTTGGAGTCTTTGTTTTCAACAGATGCAGATCTTTGTGAAAACCCTTACTGGTAAGACAATCACTCTCGAAGTTGAGAGCAGCGATACCATTGATAATGTCAAAGCCAAGATTCAGGACAAGGAAGGAATTCCCCCAGACCAACAAAGGTTGATCTTTGCCGGCAAGCAGCTCGAAGATGGTAGGACTCTCGCTGATTACAACATCCAGAAGGAGTCAACCCTCCACTTGGTGCTTCGTTTGAGGGGAGGCATGCAGATCTTTGTTAAAACTCTCACCGGAAAGACCATCACCTTGGAGGTGGAGAGCAGTGACACAATTGACAACGTGAAGGCCAAGATCCAGGACAAGGAAGGCATTCCCCCAGACCAGCAACGTTTGATCTTTGCTGGCAAGCAGCTTGAAGATGGCAGGACCCTAGCTGACTACAACATCCAAAAGGAGTCAACCCTCCACTTGGTCCTCCGTCTTAGGGGTGGAATGCAGATCTTTGTTAAGACTCTTACAGGGAAGACCATAACCCTTGAGGTTGAAAGCAGCGACACCATTGACAATGTTAAAGCAAAGATTCAGGACAAGGAAGGAATTCCACCAGACCAGCAAAGGTTGATCTTTGCAGGCAAGCAGCTCGAAGATGGCAGGACCCTAGCTGACTACAACATCCAAAAGGAGTCAACCCTCCATTTGGTCCTCCGTCTCAGGGGTGGTATGCAGATCTTTGTTAAAACTCTTACTGGAAAGACCATCACTCTGGAGGTTGAGAGCAGTGACACCATTGACAATGTGAAGGCCAAAATCCAGGACAAGGAGGGTATTCCCCCAGACCAGCAGAGATTGATTTTTGCAGGAAAGCAGTTGGAAGATGGCAGGACTCTTGCTGACTACAACATCCAGAAAGAGTCCACGCTTCACTTGGTGCTTAGGTTGAGGGGAGGAATGCAGATTTTTGTCAAGACATTGACTGGAAAGACCATCACACTTGAGGTGGAGAGCAGTGATACCATCGACAATGTCAAGGCCAAAATCCAGGACAAGGAGGGAATCCCACCAGACCAACAGAGGCTGATCTTTGCGGGTAAGCAGTTGGAAGATGGAAGGACCCTGGCCGACTATAACATCCAGAAGGAGTCCACCCTCCATCTTGTCCTGCGTCTCCGTGGTGGTTTCTGAATTTATCAGTTTGAAAAGTTGCTGGTCCCTATGTCAGCTGTGATTTTATGTTTCCAGTCGTGGATCTTGTTATGGACGTGCTTTGAAGTTTGTGTGATTTCCTTTGTTTCTGTTTAGTGGGATTGTGGTGGTGTCTTGTTTCAGTTGCTTCTGTTTGGGAATAATGGTGGTGTATGACATTACATTCTAAGTTTCTTTCATATCAGAACTAATCTCTTTGTCGTGTTATGTTTGAATATCTCTATCCTATATCTTAGTTTGTTTGTTTTTTTTTTTTTCAATATAAGCAAGATATGCTCTTATAATTGAAGAAGCTTTTAAGAAATATACAGATTATTTTAACTGGGATGTAGACATCCAACATGAATGCTAGAGATTGGGTTGCTGACTGATAAATCAAAAGCAGATATCAGTCTGGTGGCTTTACTGTATTTCTAGTCCGTTGTGAATATGCAATTGCCAGGCAGATGCTAAAAGAGGGATTATGAATACTCCATGTCATTGCTATTATGGGATTGGCAAACGGAAGCTATAAGGCGGACAATGATTCTATCGCCCAAGTGAAATCTAAATGGCCCCTGATGTTTGCGAATCTATTGGGGGACTTAAATTTGATGCCCAGACCGTGAAATGCACAAGAAATAGAATTTAAAGCTACAAGGAGGATTTGAGACTAAGGACTCGATGAGTTACAAGCAGCAAGTCCTAGGTAGAACGCTTTTTCATACGGAATTTTATAGTCTATGAGCAGAACAACATAAATAGAACAATTTTCTTCTATATGATGAGAATAAACCCTCCACTTGGTCTTCCGTCTCAGGGGTGGTATCTAGATCTTTGTTAAGACTCTACTGGAAAGACCATCACCTTGGAGATGGAGAGTAGCGACCAAATTGACAATGTGAAGGCCAAAATCCAGGACAAGGAGGGTGTCCCCCCTGACCAGCAGACTGATGTTTGCTGGTAAGCAGTTGGAAGATGGAAGCAGCCCTGGCCGACTGTAACATCCCGAAGGAGTCCACCCTCCACCTTGTCCTTGTCTACGTGGCGGTTTACCATCACACTTGTATACTTTGTTTCTTTTTGAGAGAAGATCGTGCATTCTGTTAGCAAAGATTAAAAAACGAATGAAAAACTTAAACATGACGTCCCAAAGGTCAATACTACCATTGTTCCCAAACAAGAACAACGGATATATCTCAAACAATTACAAAGCAGAAATATCTCAAAGCTAGACATCCATTTCAGGATCCACTACTGATAACATCACGCTGAAATGTTTAGAAATGTGGAATCATATATAGAGAGTCGAGGGACTAAATGGCAATATATTCCTGAGAAAAACAAACTAACAAAAGATAGTTTTACAAACACTGGACAGCGACATTGCAAAATGCTTTCTCGCATGATGAATGGCGGAGGCGGAGGCGGAGGCGGAGGCGGCTTTTGTTTCTTCAAATCAGTCAGCAACTTCGGCACCACCGCAGCCAAAGAGTTGCGGTTCCCCGGGAATGATGGCTTCGTGAATTACCTCATTAACTCACTGGGCTTTCTCTGGTTAAAGCCAATTCAGTTGTAAATTATTTGGAAAATCTGGGGATAAGTAAAACCCAACCTCAGAAGTATGGTCTCCGCATACCCTGGTTGATTGCGTTGCAAGGTGGATAAAACCCTAGAACCCAAAGTTCAGTTTTTCCGGGAACTTGGACTGTCCGGTTCGGAGCTGTCCAAAGTTATTGTTGGTTGCAGATTCGGTCGGGGAGGTTCAAAATCCATCAAATCCCGAGTTTTGTATTTAAGACAATTGCTGGGGAGTGATGAGAAATTAATTTCATTCTTAAAGAGATGGTTCCAGGGGTGCTATTACGTTTGAAAATCGAAACGATGGAGTGTAATTTGAAGGTTCTCAGAAGCTATGGCATTTCGGATGCGAATATTTCAAACTTGATGCCGCATGGTTTATTCACTGCAAAGCCTGAGGACGTGGAGGATACTATACTTAAAGTTGAAAGTGGTTTCGGCATTCCTCGCGAATCGGCTATGTTCTGCTACGGGCTTGAAGTCCTCTTCTCGTTTAGTAAGTCGAACATTGATGAGAAATTACAGAGTGTTCCGAAGTTTTGGATGGTCGGAGTCGGAGATGCTTGTGATGGTTCAGAGGCGACCTTTGACTTTATGCATGTCAGCTCCTAGGAATAGGATATGCGGAAAGCTTCTTGACTATTTTATGAACGAACTTGGATATAGTCCGGACTACTTGGCTTTCCGTGCAGCTTTGTTGGCGTTTAGTTTTGAAAACCGGGTGAAGCCACTTTGAGAATTCTAAACGACAAGGAGGTCAGCAAGATGAAGAAGCCTTGTTTGCTGACTGTTGTGGACATGACAGAGTCAAGGTTTGTGAAGAATTATATTCTTCCTTACAAGGACATATTACCAGAAATGTTCAACTATTGCTAGCTAAGCGGTTGCCTTACTCTGAACCTTTTAGATTTACAAGACATGTTCTCCTTGTTGAGCTTAATGGAAAAGAAAAAACAACATACTGTCCCGTGTAGTAGCGATTCACTCTTTGGTCTCACCTTTTCAAAAAAAAAAAAAAACTAAAAAAAACTCTTTGAGATCTTACTTATATCAAGTTCAAAAATACATAACTAAATATCTTGCCATGCATTATCACTGGGGATTAGGATGAGGATGGTAATTGTCAGGAGGTCGAGGGTTTGATACTCATTGGGGTCATCCAATTCTTATTTTTTTTAAAAAAAAAATACATATCTAAATATCTTGCGATGCATTTGCCTCCTTTGCAATGAGTTATGCTTACAACAAATCTTGACCTCTGCACGGTTTTTCTTTCTTGTAAGCAGCACATTAAGTCAAAACTAAACCAGAGGCTCAGAAGCACTATTTCTTGTTCCAAGAAAAGCATTTGAAAACTAGATGGACTGAAGATCTTGGTGGATAATAATTCCAGTATGAGGAAAATGTAGATCTCAATGGGAAAATTTACAGAGGGTGGTTTGCGGTGGTAGGCTTCAGGTTTGATTAATTAGCCGTTGTGGCCATTATGAACAACATTAAGTTTTACCTGGCTTTTCTAAAAACTCTGAACAACAAGCAGTGGGGTTTGAATCTAATTTCTTAGCACCGTGATTGAAGGAAGGCATCTACAAGTTTCAGCACGATGATTGATTCCATGCACTTCCTCTGATTTTTAGATGGCATGAGCAATTTAAGCGAAATTATAAATTAGTATTTGAAGGCTAATCTGTGACTTCTTAGCAGCATCACTGTCTAAGTGGAAATACTCCCCATCTCCGATTTTTGAATGACTACAGTTTTCCTCTCATTTTTTGCTAGCAAAGTTTGCTTGATAACACTTATGGTGATTTACCACAGCTTCCCTTAAAGATGGAATTTCTCTTTAGCCTTTGCAGCCAATGATGTTAGTGTAATACGTATTTCAATTTTTTGGCTGACCACAAAAAATTAGAATTAGTTGGTCATTTCTATTCTCATTGGTCATGAAATGTTCAATTATTGGCTAATGATAGAAAGGAGAGAGTTTCCAAAAATAGAAAGGATAAAATCTTATGCATTTTAAATTTAGAAGTGAATATTATCAAAATTATTGTCCGTTTTTTATTTTCACTTTCATTTTGTACTAGAAATGACAATCCAAATTAGACAATGAGTTGCAAACGGTTTCTCGATACTTTTTATGTAACGCCCCAACTGCTAGGTTTGGCCAAATAACTATTTGGGTGTTCGTCCTCGCTGTACTCAAAATAATTAACCCAAATTACTAATAAATCAGGTAGCTTAAGCTTATATATTGATCATCACTTCCTCCATTCTCCAATGTGGGACTAAATGACCAGCTAGCTTGCACCTACTACCTTACGGGTCATCACATTTTACCCAAATCTATTATATCAATTTTCAGTCGCCAGAAGATCTTTTTGATACTTGACTTGCTGTCAATAGAAGGTATTTTTGATATTTTATAAACAGTAAGCGTATTTTAGATAATGTGTTAAACCTAGGGGTTGTTTTTGATATTAACCTCTCTTTTTTTTCTTCTTGGTACCGCAATTCAGATAGAAACAAACAAAAATAGCAAAATACTCTGTCGTGGAAGTTTGTAGAACTATGCGATGCTTTCTCGGAAATGGTGGCTTCAAATTCGAGTCATCGGCCGCGGCAGCGGCGGCGGCGGAGGCGGCTATTTCTTCCTCAAATCATTCGGAAACTTCTCCGCCGCGGCCAAAGTGGCGATGCTGACATGGTGGATTACCTCATCAACTCCCTGGACTTCTCCAAAGATGCTGCCGTAGCCACTCTAAATAAGGTACCTCTCTCCGGTCCTTCTCAGAAAAATGCCGATTCAGTTGTCAATTATTTAGATAATTTAGGTATAAGTAAAACCCACATCAGGAGTATGGTTTCTCGATATCCTAGGTTGTTATGTTCGAATGTGGATAAAACCCTAGCACCCAAAGATAAGTTCTTACGAGAACTTGGCCTGTCTGGGTTAGATTTGCGCGAATTTATCATAGCTGGCGCGAGATCGGCATTGGATACGGCAATCAAACCCCGAGTTTTGTATCTAAAACAATTGGTGGGTACTGATGATAATGTAGTTAAGGTTTTAAACAAATATCCTAGGGTGATTACTGGTTTGGACACTGAACTGGTGGAGAGTAATTTGGAGCTGCTGAGGAACTATGGCATTACCCATAATAATATTGTGAGATGGATAACTAGGCGGCCAAGGAGTTTTTTCGTCATGAAGCCTGAGGGCATGAAGGATATTTTAGACAGAGTAGAGAATGTTTTGGGTATTCCTCGTGAATCAGCTACGTTCACCCTTGGGGTTGAGCTCCTCTCTAAACTTGATAGTTCAAAAGTTGATGAGAAATTGGAGTGTTCCGAAACTTTGGCTGGCCGGAATCGTTGATTCTGAAAATGGTGAGGACATACCCATTTATTTTCTCCAAGTCAGCAACAATGTGGAATGCTGTCAATTATCTTACGAATGAACTTGGATGCAGTCCGCACTACATTTCTTCCAACCCAGCTTTTCTTACATATAGTTTAGAAAAGAGGATGAAGCCACGGAATGAAGTTTTGAAAATTCTGAATGAAAAGGATTTGAACAAGAGGAAGGCAGGTTTGTATACTGTTTTGCGCATCCCAGAGTCAAAGTTTCTGAAGTATTATATTCTTCCTTACGAGGATATACTGCCAGACATGTGTGATGCATATCTCACTAAAACTGAAATACCAAAGAGCGAGCGATGATGATGTGTGTTCAGGTAATTTTCTCGTAAGTTTGGTGTTTCATAGTTGATGCTCTTGCATTGTTATTGGTTTCATTGTCTAATTTAGTTGTTTTCCTTCTGCTACTCATTTTTCAGATGTTGAAATACACTTATTACTCATTCTAATGTTTTAGTCATTAAGGAGTACTTCCTCCGTTTCAAAATATAAGTCCACCTACTACTTTAAGTTATGTCAAAATATAACTCCCCTTAAATTTTCAATACATAGTTTTACATAGTTTCTCCAAATTACCCTAGTCTTTAGATGCTACTAGTGTTTAAATGCTACTTATAGAATCCCAATACTTGCAATCGTTTGTTGAGAGTGCCAATAGAAATTAATTAGGGGCAAGATAGAACTTTTTCATTTGTTAATGATTGGGTCTTAATTCTTGTTCCATGTAATGGACTTATATTTTGAAAAGGAGGTAGTATTTTTGAAGAATTGTTGGAATCTAAGAAAAAAACAACTAGTTTTTAACGGAGACGTAGTGCCTAATCTCTTAGATATTTTGGCAACTTGTCTGCACATTGATTACTATTGAAATCTCAATCGCATATCAAGACTAGGTTGCAATGTTTGTTGCCTTTGGAATGGATCTAGTTTCGATTTGGTATTCTGTGATTGTGTGGTTGTTTTTACTGTTATCATTTACTAATTATCATTTTATTGTCCCTTGAACCCTATTTGCTGTACTGCCTTACGATTTTTGAATCATTGATATTATTTGAAGCGCTTACCTCATCCTTTTACCTGTACTCTTAAGTCTTAGCAACCAGGTTGGGTAATGTTTAATGGATGGTGGTATACCTAAATTATGTATGTGGACTGGGTTAGGTTTTAGTATTTTTGAAAAGTGTGAATAATAATGCATGTCGTAAATGACTAAGAATATTATAACTGGATCTTGGAAGAGTTTCGACTCTAATCTGCATGAAACTTTTAAGCTTTTTAACTCCTATGAGAATTCGTTAGGAGACCCTGTCACTTGTGGGAGACAAGCTATAAGTGTCATTATCTGTTAAAAGCATGTAGCGGACATGTTATGTCCTCTGCAGTGTCAAGCCAAAAGTAGAGATTGGGTCAACTTACGTTTGGATATTTTATGCAATTTTCTTCATCAATCAGATCCGAAGTAGCAGAACATAAGACCTTGGTGTAATTATTTGTTTTGTTGTGTATTCTGTTCTAGAACATATCTTGACCTCTGAATTATTTTTTCTTTTTACTAGTTGCCATTCGGATGCATGGAGATTACAGTTCAAACAGCAGGAGAAATAATGTCAATATTCTTATTTACCCAAAGCACAAGGGGGTGTGGATGTTTTTCAATCGATAGTTCTTGGGATATCTGCAGGAACAAAATGGTCTACATGCAATAAGTCAAGTTATCATTCAGGTTTCGAAAAGCATTGGCAAACTAAGGGAAAAGAACTTCCAAGTAGGCAAACTTTTTTCACTGTTGTTAGAGGACTGCAACTGAACTGGAAGGAGCAGACTGTACATTGCCCTATTGGTAGCTTCAGATTGACAAGATGGTTTTGCCAACAGCAGTGGATTCACCAGGGGTCTGGAAAAGCTTCTGAACAATAAGCAGTATGGTTAAATGAATTTTTTGGTCCTGTGTTTGGTGGCTTCTGCAAATACCCGCAGAAAGATTTCAGTGCAGCTCCTATGCTCTCGCTAAGAGGGCTTTGAGGTTCCTTTGAAGAATTCATAAGTAGTAACGAGCAGAAGCAGGTTGTTTTAATGTGTGCCTGTGTGGTTAAGAACTTCAAGACGGAAAGCAATGGCATTATGTTTCCTCTGTACGTGAGACTTGGTTTTCTATTTCCTTCTTCCAATCTGGATATTTATCCCGATGACGGACATGGTATGTGCTCTGCAGTATGCTATTAAATACAAGCCAAACGTAGAGATTGGGTCAACTTATGTTCAGATGTTTTATGCAAGTTTATTCATCAATCAGATTCGAAGTAGCAGAACAGAAGACCTTGGTGAAATTATTTGCTTTGGGGTATATGCTGTTGTAAAACATATCTTGACGGCTTGACCTCTGATCTGAAGTAATTTTTCTTTTTATTATTTGTCATCCGGATGTATAGAGATTACAGTTCTGCCAGCAGGAGAAGTAAATGGGTGCAAATTTTTACTGTTAAGAGGACTGCAACTGAACAAGGAGTAGACAGTACATTGTACAACTCGTAGCTTCAGATTGAAAAAGATGGGGTGTTGCCAACAGCAGTGGGGATTACCGGGGCTCTGGAAAAGCTTCTGAACAACTAGCAGTAAATAGTGATTGATACTATACAATTCATTTTGGCCACCGTTTGGTTATTGTAAATTGTAATCTACTCATTTTAATAAATAGAACTAAAACTATTATAGAAGCACCTAAAGATCAGAGTTATGGAAACATGCAAAATTATGTCTATTTCCCCCTTCATCCGAAGCAATATTATTTGTACTTTCTGAAATCATGATGAAATGATTATTTTTCGACTGCATAATAATAACGAAAATGTATAATTAAATGAGATGGTAATTATATAAATACAAAATTTATTTTTTTAGATCATGAGCCAAAATAAAATTCATGCTTATCCACTACTACTAATTATCACGATTCAAAATGCGAAAACATATACCTCCCGTTTTGTTTGGTTTTGAAAGTTGAGGAACTAATTAGCAAATATCCCAGAGTTCACCCTCAGCAATGCTTTCTCAGAAATGGCGGCTTCAAATTCGCGCCATCAATGGCGGTTGCGGCTCCTTCTCCTTCAAATCAATCCTCAATTTCTCCGCCACCGCCACCAAAAAGGCGCAAATCCAGAATGCTGATATGGTGAATTACCTACTTGACTCGCTCGGCTTCTCCAGAGATGCCGCCATAACCACCTTAAGTAAGGTACCTCACTTGCGCCCTTCTCCGGAAAAAGTGGATCCAATTGTCTGTTATTTTCAAAATCTGGGTTTTAGTAAAACCCAAATCAGAAGTATGGTTTCTGGACACCCTCGTTTATTGTGTCGCAACGTGGATAAAACCCTAGTTCCCAAATTGAATTTCTTTAGAGAACTTGGACTGTCCGGGTCGGGCCTACGCAAAGTTGTCGTACAGTGTTCGGATCGTGGTTTGGATACGTTTATCAAACCCCGAGTTCTGTACTTACGGCAATTGTTGGGTACTGATGATAATGTGGTTGCCGTGTTAAATAGAGATTCTACGGTGCTTAAGTTTTTGGACGCTGAAAGGGTGGACACCAATGTAAAGCTGTTGAGAAACTATGGAATGACTGATGATAATATTGTGAAATGCATCACTAATTGGCCAAGGAGATTTTTCACCCTGAAGCCTGGCGGCATTAAAGATGTTTTACATAGAGTAGAAAATGTTTTGGGCATTCCGCGTGAATCAGCTATGTTCCGCCATGGGGTTGCGGTCCTCGCTTCACTTGATAGGTCGAAGGTCGATGAGAAATTGGGAGTGTTCCGAAGCTTTGGCTGGCCGGAATCAGTGATACTCAAAACTGTAAGGTCACAACCTCTTATTTTAACCAAGTCTGCTCCTACAATACAGAAAGTTGTTGATTTTTTCATGAACGAACTTGGATGCAGTTCGGACTTCTTGGGTTCAAATCCGGCTTTTCTTACATATAGTCTTGAAAAGAGAGTGAAGCCACGGAATGAAGTTTTGAAAATTCTAAAGAAGTTGAACAAGAAGAAGGCAGCTTTGTCTACTGTTCTATGCATGTCAGAGTCAAAGTTTCGCAAGTGTTATGTTCTTCCTTACAAGGTTATACTGCCAGACATGTGTGACGCTTATCTCACTAAAACTGAAATACCAACGATTGAGCTGCGATGACGTGTTTCAGGTAATTTGCTCGTAAATTTGGTGTTTCATATGTTGCTGTTCTTGCATCATTATTGGTTTTATTGATCATTCATTATGTTTCCTTGGTGCTGCTACTTTAAGAGGAACTGATTTGGAATTATTTTGTACCCTGTAGTTTATTGTCTTATTCATGAGTCATGTGGAAGCTTGTAATGGGTATTGAAAACCATTGATTGTTTCTATCTCCAACTTTTATTTCCTGTGAATCTCTCTTTTTTTTTTTTTTTATTATGACTGGATTTGAATCTTTCAATGCGTGTTTTTTGGGATTTATTGTTGTCCGTTGTTACTGATAATTATCAGCTAGTACCGGCTCCAACTTCTCTGCCTTGCTTTACTAATCGGGAAATTTATCTTAAAGAACCTATCGTATATTTTCTGTTTAGAAAAATTAGGTAATGGAAGTATGCTTTACTTTTGACCACGTATTAACTTATGTCGTTGTTTTTGGTATTATGAAGATGAAAACAACAATGTGGTATGAATTATGTGTTGAGAAATGCTAACAGTTTTGCTAAATTGTGAAAGTAATTTGACTCTATGAAGTTTATAAACATTATGAGCAAATATGCTGTGTTATACAATTGAAAGCAATGGAATACATTCTTGCATGTTTTAAACTACTTGCTAGATATGTCCTTGTATGGGAACTCAAAGGAAGTGCAGCTCACCTATGAGGTACAAACTAATACAAGCTGTTATATCTATAGCCATATGACCAAGAGTAGAGGTTGAGCCAAATCATATTTGTTCTTTTGAGGGTTCAGTCAATACTCTTCCTTCCAATCAAAGTTCTAAAGTGTCATAACGAAAATCTTGGTGAAAATTTCTTTCCTTGTAGTGAACAATGTACTACAACCCACCTTGACCAGTGTGTGGTTCTTGTGAACGGTTCATTTTGATAGATAACAGTTGGTGAGATCAGAGTTCTGCCAACATGTGAAATCATGTCTATGTTTTTCTTTAGCCTAAGTACTAATTGGAGTTGGTGACAAAATCTATCATCTGTGGGTTATATGTGCAGAATGAATGGACTTGCGTTAAACTTGTAGAGATGGATACTGCAAGGATGGGATGGTAAGGGTGAGAGACTGTAACCTCGAGGTCGAGGATTCGGTAAGAGTAACAAAAAGAAGAAAGAAAGAAGGAAGAGAGAGATCTAAGCAGCAGAATAGTCATAATTAATTAGTTTGAAATGTGAAATCAGTTGAGTAAAGAACATTAGCAATCGGGTGATTAGTCAGACTAAGTTTTAAAACCACATAAGGTTAGATGAAGAAGATGATTGATATGTATATATGTCTGTGATGCTGCTAAAAGTAATTGCAGATTGGCCAAACACTTTGCAAAGACTAATCAATGAATAGTTCCCATGGAAATTCGCCCTACAATGTTTATGCGTCTCTCTCTCTCTCTCTCTCTTTGATTGTACATGTTACTTTATATTGAAGATGAAATAACATCATATAGATTTCAGGAAGGTTACTCATATTTTCTAATATTTGTCGTAGATGCTTTGCCGATCCTACAATGTCAACGTGAGTTGAAGTGAGTTTATATTTTAAAAATTGATTGTTCCAGCAAAAATTGAACACCAAAACTTGTTGTCATAAGAAACCAAGGTTTGAACTTTGAAGGCCAATGTAGTCAGCATTATGCCATAGTGCTTTATTTGTTCCAAGAAAAGCATGGCGTGCCAGAGGTTAAGAACATTGATATGAATGAAATTTTGTCCGTTATATATTGTAATTATCTTTTGGAACGAACTGAGTCATGATAGCTTCGTATTGAAATCCACGAGACTACGAGGTCGGAGGTTGAAAACTCGGGAGTGAGCAACCGAACAAACAAAAGACACACTACAGGTACTGTTTTCTCGTAAATTTTCATCATAGGTGCAACCCAAATTTTCGGTTCACTTTCTCCTTCGGAAACGACATCTTTGGGATGATTAATCGGTGTTTGTTCCATGTTAATGAGTTTTTTCCCTGAATCCTACCAAGTAAAAACAGAATAAATCCTAAGCACATCCAAATAGCATTATTATAATTAAAGTTGACCTCAAGCAGCTTCTTTAATTGAATGAAAAAAGAAAGGAAGAAGAAGAAGAAAACGATATGAGTTGGGTTCGAAAGTCATTCGAAAAAATCCAAACGGGGAAAAATTTGAAGAAACAACAACAATAAGTGCAATAAATCTTACTCCCTCCGGTCCTTAATATAATACATTTTGATTTTGTTCTAAGTTTCACTTATTATACATTTTTAATGAATGAAAAAACCTTAAAAATATATTTTCACATTAGTTATGTTTTTGTGAATGTTATGAAATATTTTTAAGGTTTTTCCGTCAATTAAAAATGCGCACTAAGTGAAACTTAAGATAAATCAAAATTCTTTATATTAAGGACAGAGGGAGTACCTAGAATTTTGTCTACTTCTCTCAATTCCCTGATTGAATTTTATTAGAACCCTATTTCCATTTTTGTTTGACATAGTCGAGGATTGGTGTAGAGTATCTGAAGAATAGTGAGGAATAGAAGCATAGATGATGCAACCAAACCCGAAATAAAATGACCACCCCATAGAAAACAGGGGATCTTATCTTCTCATCTAATGCGACGACCCTTCCAAACAAATAAATACGCGTTTGTTATATTTTGGATGATTTATTATAACTTGTTAATTTGAAAAGTTTAGGGTGGTTTTCGCAAGTTTTCAAATTTCTTTAACCGACACGACATGTAGTGAATTGTGACCGACTCTAAACTGAATGATGAAAATGATTATGAGTAAAACCATGATTTGAGCGCGATATTATAGGTGTAGTAAATCTTCAAAATGTATTAATTCCGTTGCAAGGCGTGGGTTTTTTTTTTTTATTATAATGACAAAAAAAATGATGAAAACATATATGTGAGTCTCTTTTTTTTTTGTAACAAAAAAATATATATATGAAAACGTATATCTATAGTTTTGTTTCGTTTAGGCAGTGGAGGGAACTACTCAGCAAATATCCCAAAAGGGAATAAAATCAACTGCCAATTGGATTCCACCTTCGTCGTCCACTTTCCCTCTCAGCAATGCTTTCTGGGAGATGGCGGCTTCAAATTCGAGCCATCAATGGCGGTTGCGGCTCCTTCTCCTTAAATCAATCCTCAATTTCTCAGCCACCGCCACTAAAAAGGCGCCAATCCAGAATGCTGATACGGTGAATTACCATATTGACTTGCTCGGCTTCTCCAAAGATGCTGCCATAACCTCTTTATCTAAAATACCTCATTTCCACCCTATTGAGGATTTTGATCCCCTTTTCACACAAATTACTGTAGTTTACTCACTCAGCAACACACGCAGCAGATTTAAAGTAAACAAGCAAGTAAAACACAGCAAGAAGCACAAACACAACTTACGTGGTTCGATGTCTCATAGATCTACGTCCACGGGAATGGTAACACTTTCAACTAGTATAAGAATAGAAGAGTTTACAAAGATAGAGCATCTCTCAACACACTATGTCTCTCTCCCTCAATTCTACTCTTACACTCTCTCATAAAGTGTTTCTCATCACTCACCTCCAATGTGCTCCGGGAAAGAAAGATGCACATCACTACACAAAGAAGTAGGAACTAGGAGAGAATCTCCACTCAACTCAATCCTAATTCTACCCCCCTCCCCAAACTCAAGAGTTCTCTCTCAATTGAGTGGTTATATCTTGTCTCTCTTTTCCGCAACTAAGTTTAGTACAAAACATTCCTATTTATACTATAACCCTACACAAACTATTACAACCTATTGGACCCTAGGCCCAATATTCACTTCATGGGCTTGGGAATTTAAGGAGAAACCCAACAAATCCTCTCTCGACTCAAAATCCCAAGTGCATAAACAACATCTTCAAGAATAAGGCTTGTATCTCTATCTTTAACTTGAGCTCTTCACCACGAATGTCAAGTGAACCACAAACCTGTATCTCGAATCATCAACTCCTCGGAAATAGGACAACCTCTTCATGTGTGGGAATGTCAAACAAACACATACCTATCTCCACTTCCATCATTCAACACCACAACAAGTACACACTAGCACTGAGTCATTCTCTACTTGGACATTCTTTCTCTTATCATCTCCTCCAAACTCGTCAAGTCTTCATCATAATAGGGAACCACTGGATGTGACCTTTTCAAACAATATTCTTCACATAATATTGCACCCACTCGGCCGAGCTTCTACACAAGTCACAATCTTCGCAAATGACTCACCGCACACAACTAGTGCGTCAACCTCCAACAACATCTCAAAGTTAAACCAAAGAACTTAATCATCTTGTACCGCTGCTCTTGACTAGCAGGACACGCCGCCTGACCAACATATCAGGTAGACTTTCGACACAAGAAAATCTAAATGGTTAAACTTCAAATCCAAATGGTTAAACTTCAAAACACCTTCACGGTCTGCACACTTCTCTCCCGCACCACATCCTCAACACGTCAAACCACACATCTCTTCGTCAAAATTATCCTCCACGAGTAAATCTTGGAACACTACTCTCCTCAGCATCACAAAATTTCAGTACCCACAAAGATTGGAGGCATACACAATCATCTCCACATCTTTAACAACTTTTCTACACCCCTAACACACTTCAATCGACAATACAACACAACCCAAATTGAATTTGATAAAACCAATGCCAAAAAAAAAACTCAGCACGTCGAAATTAGGGAGATAAGGTCACCTGAAAATTTTTGATGACGTGGTGGTCAAACTTTGACTTTGACTAATGACATAGCAACACAGTTAGCAACACATGGCGGACAACTCAGCGACATATGGCATCCACGTGGCACAATCTCAGCCATTCAGACGCTGCCACATGGCGGCATCTCAGCAAAACCCTGTAGCCTATTGTCTTTTCCTGAGTCGCGTGGAAGCTTAAGGCTTTGAAACGCCCAAATTTTCGCGAAAACAAAAAATACAAAAAAATAATCATTTTTTTTTCTTTACTTTTTTGTATGATTTATTGTTATCCATTCTCACTGATAATTTTTGTGAGCTTGAGTATGCAAACGTTGTAGCAGTTTCACTTACGGAATTTCAGAAGGACATAAACTATGAAGGAAAATTTTCCATCTTAATTGATTCGTCTTTGCACTATGGTGGAAGGCCGCCAATCTGTCTACAGCAGCATCACTGTCATACTTGGGGTGAAAAACTAAGGTCATCTTCTTCTACTGCTTCTTCAAAACTTTTCTAAACTGGTCACTTCTTGGTTGCCAATGTTTCATCTGATATAAACTGGTACACATCAACTTTTGACTATTCTACTTATCAGAATCAGAAGTCTCTTTTCTTTTCCCCGCTCTTTTTTGTGGGCAAATTTGCAGTCACAATTCTTATCATCCTCACCATCGCTCCGAGTACCATTTATGCAAATTTAGTGCAAGTCAATACGTTCCTGCGCATACATCACGAATGATAATACACTAGTTCCAATTCCATCTAGTGCTTTAGATTAAGCAGAAAATAGACATGGTTTCATATGCTAGCAGAACAGAAATCTGTTTACACCAACTGCTATGTGTTGAGATGAGCTAATTACAAGAACCACAACAACGTCAAGATGGGTTGTTGTACATCAATCCCCAAAGAGACAGACATATTTCACCAAGAATTTTGTTCTGGTACCTTGAACTTTGATTGATAGGAAGAATATATACACACTGAAGACTCAAAAATTAAAATACAATATGTGGCTCAATCTCTACTTGTGGCCCATATGATTATACATATAACATGCAATAACTCCACAAGCGTTGGAGCTGCACCCCAAGATGTTCACATACAAGGATATAGCTAAGAGTACTATAAAACACGCAATGACCTACTCTATCACTTCCAACAGTAATACAGGAGCTCAAAATGTTAGTAAATTAGAAGGGTTAAAAGGATACAGCTAGCAAGTATTTTCAAAACATGCAATCAACTCCTTTACTTTCAGTTGTAACACTGGATATTAGCTGGAAATGTTTTTAAACTTCCTAGCACCAAATCGCTTTCATAATAACCATTTCAATACACATGATTTACATCTCTCCACATAGTTTTTTTCATATTTGTAATACTATATAACACTGATATCAATCACATTAAGCATACTTCCCTTAATTTTGAACAGAAAAAGTATGATATAGGTTCTTTAAGATAAAATTCTTGATTAGATAAGCAAGGGTAAACAGTTAGATCTAGGGTTGTTCCATTTGACCCGTGGTTCACGTCGACCTGCTAATCCGAACCGATCCGAATTGAAACCGAACCGAAATATTAGTTTCGCATCGGTTCGGATCGGTTCGAAAATCAGTTACATGGAACGGTCTGGAACGGTTCGGATTAACACTTGGAACCAAATTGAACCAAAATCTTCCAAATTCTTTCGTACACGTTATTTTCAGATTTAGACAAACTTCACCCTTAAC